CTTAGTTGTAGGACCTGCGGCCTCAGAAGCCTGGATTCCATGGGCTTTTCTTTGGAACAATTCGACCTGCTCGAGTTTTGGGAATTGGTGCATTGGTTTGTTTTTGAAATTCGAGCCGGCTTGAATTTCTCAAAAGTTCTTGAGTCACGAAAACTCGAGCAGGCTCAAACTTTCCAAAATAAACTTCAATTCTGACATCTATGAGACCCTAGGGGCCATTATTCTCCAAATTTTGTGTTCATGTTGACCATATGGGCCTGCTCGAGTTTGCGGGACCTGGTGCTTCAAGAACACTGTTAAAGTTCGAGCTGGCTCGAACTTTCAACAGAAATCTAAATTTTGGGATCTGCTAGGCCTGGGGGGTGTGGGGGGGGCTCTCAAACTTAGGCTTGGTTTTGAAAACTCGAGCCGGCTCGAGTTTTAGTGGCTTGGTGCTTTCAGAGTTTCTGGAAAGAATCGATCCTGGCATTGTTTCCAACGAAAACTTCTCAAGCAGGCCCTCAGTTGTCTTTACGTGGTGCTTTGCGAGCATATACTTGTCGTCGGCCGTTACTTCAGCTACTTGATCACAACCCTCTCCCCCTTTAGCAGTGAGGTAGATCATGCGGGGGGAGGGCCTACTCATGAAAGGTCAACTCGAGAATTGATGGTCCCTTTCCGGATACCCTAAATACCAGGGCCCCCTGAGAATAGGGACCCGAAGAGGGACCAGATTTTGAAGAAGTGACCATACATGTATGTAGACGTATATACACACATATAGGCATAGTATGGTGTCTGATATACAGAATGTGTCACCATACTGTATCTACAGCTCGCATCACTTGCAGTCATCGGCTCTACGCCGTCATAGAATTCAAAGCAAGGCTTAGGGCAGCTGCTGCGCCACAAGTTCCCTGCATGGGTATGGCGCCCCACACCGCGCTAAGAAGGCCACACACGGTTTTTATTTAATGATTGCAGGTTGGACCAGGGTCGTCCCATGGTAACCATGAGAGCACTTGCCGTTTTCCCGCTCAGGCCGCTGGCCGCCGCTACCCTTGCGGCCGGGTGGCTTGGTGTGCTTCGGTGTGATATATCTGAGCCCAAATCGTCCCACGCTTGAAATACTGCATGGTGAATTCAGCTGTCGTGCGGGTTTTTTTGCAAGCAACGGCAGAAGTTGACAAGATCAGCCAGACAGCCCCCTAGCAAGCGTTTTCAGATGCTTTTTCAGGCACGGCAAACATACAGGGAACGCCAAGTGAGGAAGCACATCATGTCATCGAATCAACCCGGTTTCAGACACCATGAGCTCACCATTTCAGGGAACTTCCGTGTTTAGGCCCTACTCTTCGGTCCAGCCAAATGGCCTGTTCTGGCCTCAGCGTTGCGCTGGAAGAGGTTCAAGCCCGTGGCCGAAGCACAGACGACAAGAGAGGCAATATTCATATTCACATGAGCTCAGGGCACAGGCTTCTGCTCCCACGAGCTGTGCGGGCCAGGCTCGGCTGCATGTTTGCCGGCTCATTTGACTGCTCACTGCATGGGTCATGTTGAATCCAGAGAACCGCAACGCCACAGGTCGAGCGTCGAGAACCTACTTGCACGCTGAGGTATCCTTGTTGAGATGCCCGAAGTGCACAGGGCAGGGTTTACAATCCTGCAAGGTCTCGGACTGGCATGTCTGGGAATTTAGCAGCAGCAACTCATTTGCTGTATGTCTTTAGTTTTTGCGCTTTCAACATGTGGGGCAATATCCCATTTCGAACCTCGAACTTGTCAGTCGCCGGATGTGAAACCCGAGCCGGACTTCGGTGCGGACTTTGCCAAGGCGCTTAAGGACGGGGAGAGAGGACGGCCCTATGCCGTCTGTGCTGTGCTTGTGGGCGGGGAGGGGGGTAAAAAGGTGGTACTGGGAGGCGATTGTTGTCTTGCTCTGTTCACATGAACGCATATGAACGCAGCGCCTCTGCTTGGCGCTCAAGGGTGGCTAATTCGGTTCCAACCCCGCGGTTTTCAGGACGGACTCGGCCTAAATGAGGCCTATGACCAGGACGGGGCCGGCTGTGGTTATAGTGCCCTCTTCTTCTCTGTTCTCGCACTCTCCAATTGATTTTGTCTCGAGAGCTCTGTTTCAAAGCTTCTGTGTGTTTTCCAAATCTTGGCACCATCTCGCAGGAGGTGACTGCTACGCAGAGAGTCACTCCAATTGATCGCTTGCGTTCGCCTCAGAGAGACCCGAATGTGGCAGCGGCAAAGGGATTAGCTGCAGGCATTGAGACACGTTGAGTAGTCATTCTAGCCGCAATACTTCGCGCTGACAAGTCTCGGCGGCAACAGCACAGGTTTGGTTGGGACAAGGTCTGCGCCCCAGAGACAAAATGAGAACTGACCAATTACTGGGCTCGAGGACCTTGGCAAAGACTGTCAAGCCTTTTCTTTGTGCGAAGCAGAGGTGCAGCCGTTCGAACTGAAAAGCTGATATGTGTCGCATCCGCCCCCTTTCTTGCCAACCAAGAGATGCAAAACCGGTCAAACCGTGAGTGAGCAGAATAGCTATATAAGCAGAACAGGATGCATGACTAAGACACCAGAAAGAGTTGAAGGCAACTCTACTGCAGTCCGACCCCGTTCAGCTTGTCCAAGGGCATCATTGCCTCCCGAGATGACTTGGATCCATTTATGGACTCGCGTGATGAGATGTCAGTGCCTGAGTGAATGTCTCCTAGTCAGTTCTGGTCTCAACAGTGTTCTTTGTATCTTTCTCTCTCTCTCTCGCTCTCTCTCTCTCTCTCTCTCTCTCTCTCTCATGTCGCGCCCAGGAATTATGTCTCTGTCAGCTTGGAAAAGCCTTTGGGCCTCGAGTTTTTGGAGAACGGCGCGGCTTGGCTCTCAACAGAGGCACTTCTGCAGCTTCAATGAAAGCTTCAATATTGCCTTAAAAAGCAAAAAACAGAAGAGTGTCAAATGCACGCTCGATCCAAAATTGGAAGTTCTTGAAGTAAAAGGGTCAGAAATGTTGCTATCTTGTGAACACCTTAAACTTCTTGCATTGCCTGCTGAAAGCTTCATGCATCGCTAAGGAAGAGGAAGGCGGAGGCGTTCTGATCGGGAAGGCCCATGCTTCTGAAACCATGTTTGTGTCTTTATACAGCCATAGATTCGTCCATCCATGCAGAGATTCGCCAGCGGAGTCGGAGACTCGCCCGCTGCTAGTGGGAGATGCGCTGTCTGCCATGCAAGAGAATTCGCTGCGATGTGACCCTGTACGAGATATAATCCATTAGTGTAGTCTCCAAGCAAAGAAGTCGGCGAGCGGTTCATCTTCGCCAATCAGTCCAATCAGTGCTGCGTCTGTCCAGTTGAATGTGGTACTAGCCGGGCCCAAGCCGGGGATGCGCACGTCGGCGGTCCAAGCAGTGTACCTCGGAGTTTCCATTGCACGCAGTCGGGTTGCAGATGTGTCAAGCCGGGGGCCGCGGGTCTTGAGGTCCCAAGAGAGGCCACACGCATCATGAGTTCTGGAAGAATGCCCAGGGAGTACGTGCACCAAGCCCCTTCCCGACCGATTCAGGAAGGTTCAATGAGTCCCAGATCCGGCCACAGACGCGTGTGGAAGGTTTAGGGGCGCCAGGACGATCCCAAAATGGGGGGGGGGAGGGTTCGGAGGAGACCACATCCTTTTTGCTTGCAGCCCACAGATGCAACCACGCACTATGTCCATGCTAGGTGGTTAGAAAGCCAATGCTAATCGTGCATGTAGAGCAGGTGCAGCCGGGCTCCAATGCTGACCAAACTGGCTTGCTCAGGGTAGCAGCCCCAGACTAGGACCCTATGTTCGCAACAGGATATCACTCTTTGACCGGAGGGGAGACCACGCAAGAACATTGTGGAGCTTTGGGATCCCAGGGTGCAGCTTTTGTCGTCCAGTGCATCTGCACCTGCAAAGCTGTTATGGGTGAATTGCTTCCTACAAGGCCGGCTATCACCTGGTATTTGTGGACGGTACGTGCTGGGCTTGGGGTCGAGCTTTCGGGTGTTTGCTTGCCGCTTGCGACTGAGACCGGAAAGCTGACTTGGACTCATTTTGTCGCTCCTACTTTGTACACTTTCCGGAATCGGAGGATCGGCATCGGGGTATCGGAAGAGGCTCATGGAGCATGGGGGACCCGCATGAAAGGCTCACGGACTTCCCAGCTTCCCCACTGAGACCCCCACCCGCTTCTGGTTGGAATCAGCAAGGCCCGTCCACGGCCTGTCCTTCGACTCCGCGATCCAGCCCATCGTAGCATCCGAAGGTTGCATCTGAATTGCTGTCGGAATATCAATAGTCTTGCTTCGCAGTCTGCCAAGATGGTATTGTTGCCACATAGCGGCGGGAAACCAAGATCGATCCATCGCGCTTGCACATGACCAATGCTTGCTCGTTTCTCGGTCCATGGATGTAAAACGATGTATGCTCTGCTTAGTTGCATCATCCGTAGGAGCTGTGCAGCTCACTTTCTTCATGGGCGAAGCAGAATACTTCTACGGTGAGTGGAGGCCGCCATCGCAGATCACCGCGTCTTTGATCAAGGGGTTCGTGGCACTAAGATGACCAGGAAATGTTGATCTAGCAGCGTGTGGAAACAGGCCTGGTGAGGAGTGGCTGGAAGCGTTCCAAGCCAGATTGCAGCGTGCCTATCGAATGGCTGTGGCTCGTTGTGCGAAGGCATGAGTGGAAGCTGTCCATATCAAGCAAGTGACAGCTGTAGTCCAGGTCTCAACCGGATGACGAGGAGCAGTAGCCGTCGCTGCCACAGTGTTTCACGCCATCTTTGCGAGAAGGATCTCGCATCACTTTTCCGTTGTTTCAGCCGTTCCAAGTTGGAACTCTTCACTGCTGCCGGGCTTTCGTTGCGAACGTGTCAGTGGTTAAGAGTCGAGACTGGTGCACACAGGTCCACGAAACAAAATGGTCCGGGCAGAATGTCGGCCGATTTCAATATAGCCCATGCATCCCGTGTGATACAGCCAACATGCAGGTGTCTCCGCAGCTGCAAGTTTCCTGTGTTGGCTGTTCGTTTTTGTCCTGCAGCCAGCCTGCAGCCATGGAGAGGGAAACCTTCTGGGAGCTGCATCGCAAACTGGCTGACTGCTATGCTTATGACATGGCCGAGCGCGGCGGGATAGACCGCAAGGCTAGTCTCCTGTCACAGTCAGATCGACGCAATAGCCTCCAGAGACGGCTGAGCCTTCAGAGTGTGCAAAAGGAAAGTTCGATGACCTCAGCTATTGAGGATGCTCCGAGGTCACCTAATTCGCAGCAACGCCCAATGAGGATGGTATCCTTCGACCGGAACTCAACCATCAAGGTTATCGACTTCGATGCCACTGAGGCCGTAAGAGTGATGCCTTCCACAGTCTCTGCCCCTATACCAGACGAGGTCAACTTTACAGACACTGCCAAAGCCAGGGCCTCCCTACGGCAACGACGGAGGAGCACCATGAACGAATTGCTCAGTGCCCAGGGGCTCAAGAGCCACAGTAGCCTAGGAGATTCTGACGATGAGGCTTGGGATATCACGAAGGTCAAGTTGCATGCCCACAAGTGTTGGCTGCAAGATGAGGGCCCAGATAACGAGATTTCCCAACGTTTGCAGTCACTTTCCAAAGGCATCAACCAGACCGCAGACCAATCCCAAATGCATGGCAGTGAATTGGAGACCCCCTACGAAATGGAAGACCAGCCCACAATGCTGCACCCAGCGGGGGTTCTGCGAACCACCTGGAACATTATGGTGGCCATATGCTTGATTCATGACTTGGTGGTGATTCCCCTGTATGTCTTCGACATACCCGACTCATCGCTCCTAGTTGCGCTGGAGTGGTTTACTCAGCTCTTCTGGAACATCGACATTGCCATGACCGTGCGTACAGGCTACTACTACAAAGGCCTGCTGATCATGGATCCGAAAAAAGTCATCCGCAACTATGTGAGGACCTGGCTGGTCTTGGATGTGACTTTGGTATCCTTGGACTGGGGCTTCGTTCTCCTAGAATTATCAGGTGTGCAAGTAAACTCTGTGGCGCAGCTCTCGCGCACGATACGATTCCTGCGCTTTCTTCGTCTGGTCCGAATCTTACGCTGGGTGAAGCTACGCCGGATGGCCGAAATGTTCCAGGAGCTCGTTCAGTCGCAAGCGGCCAGCACCTTGGGAAGCACCAAAATCAGCGTCCACTTCTTCCATTCATGTAGCTACGTAGCCGCCCCTTGAGTTGTTTTGCACGTTGTTGCTGATGGCTTGGCGAGCGTTAGCCATTCCGTCATCTTCTCAGATCCTTGTTGATGCTTGATGTCATGATGTGGTCGTGCAGGGGTCCTTCGTGATCTTTCGAACACTGATGTGGCCTGCCAGGCATGTACTGGAGCCTGCTGTTTGGCATTGCGCGCCTCATCATCTTGAATCACCTGATCGCTTGCTGCTGGTTCGGCATAAGTCGTTTGGAAAATGCCAGTGACAATTGGGTGGAGCACGCTCGCCTTTCTGACACACGCCCCGAGCACATGTATGCTGCATCCATGAGCCTCGCCAAGAGTCAAAGCTTGTCGTCAAGAGGCATCTTTCTTTTTTAAGGGACTTGGACTTGCCATGCCTTCGTGTTGGCTTGGGGAGGGGGGGGGGGGGGGGGCATCTGCAGGTGGTGCAGGTTCAGGGATAGGGCATCGGGAAGGCGTAACATTGGTTTCGGCTTAGGGCGTTAGGCTCCTGTGAGACTCAAGGAATTGGGCATTCGCTCAGCTGGGCGTGGGCGTGTCCGACGTCAGTCCTCGCACTACTCTGGAGACCTACTTCTGCATTATTATTGCTTCTGGCCTTGAAAAGCGTAGTACAGAATTTTAGGATGTGTCAACATTGTGCGATGTGGTTTCGTAGTTTTGGACTTCAGTGTTCTAGACCCAGTCGAAGTGCCGACAAAGGCTTTCCGATCCCTGATCACCTGCACCACTCTCATCAGTCGTATGACCTCACTCATGACGGCGCTGATCAAGGCAAAGGAGGATGAGGAGCGCGAGTGGCCTGGCACCTATGTTAGTAGGCCCATGGTCGGCCTCAGAGCTCATCCGAAAGTCTCCTTAAAGCATGCTTCTAAGCGCTTTCATTGTGATAACCGGCAGGTCTAGGACAAAGTATTGCGGTCTTGTGAAGCCGGCCAGGACGACGAGGAATCACCTCACCAGTAGCCATTTGGGATTGACAGGTTCCGATTTAGTCTGATGTCCCAGAGCTTTTCGTGCAGATCTCCCCACAATCGACATACAAGCTCCTATTCCTAAGGAGATGGTCTTTCTGTAACTCTAAGTTTATCCTTCTTGTTTCCTGTTTGTCCAGGTTCCGCCTCCTGCGCAGCTATCTGGTCTTCAACGAGATCCCCCATCGTTTGGGACAGAAAGTTACCCGTTTCCTTCAACATCAGTTCAGCTTAAAGCAACAGGCGAAGACAGCGGACTTGCACGTGCCTCTGCTGGACCTCCTATCCCATCAACTCCAGGCCAGTGCCCCACTGAGCCAAGAGCCGAGCCAATCTGTGCAAGTTTCATTACGTTTCTGCAAGTTCTTCGATCAAGATGTGTACATTCTTTGTGTGTTTTGCATTTTGCACAGGGGGAGCTCCAGTTTGCCCGGCACCGGGCTTCCCTCGCCAAGCTCGAATTCCTGGACTTCTGGGGGCCAGGGGAAAGGCAATGCTCAAAGGTCGTTCTTTTTTCTTGGGTGGTGCTGGATTCTGTTAGAAGAATATTCCAACATTCGAGAAGTCTGGCGAGGGGTCTGAGTTTGAGAGGACCACCTCATGGACCACCTCGACCGGCAGATTGTGCGAGTGATGCATGAGCTGTGCACCACAGCCTTGGACTGCCTGCCGGTGGCTGCCAAGGACCTGGTCTTCCTGGGTGGGTCGGCAGCCCGAAAGTGCTACCTGATCCTCGCTGGTTCGTTTGCCTACCATCACGACGACGGCAGTGAGAAGGTGGATGACTCTGAGTCCTGCGGCTGGATTGCGGAGATGTGCCTGTGGATGCTAGGCACGAAAGCAATTAGAGTCTGATTAGAGTTCGCCAGAGCATGCTGGAGCATGCTGGGGCTCGTCCAAAAGCCCTCCTTGCAGCTTGAGCACCTGACTGAGGACACCGTGGGTCTACTTGGGCGATCTGGTGTCGGATGATGTCTCTCGCATTGTCGAGATGGATGCATCCTTGTTTGGTCAAATCTTGAGCCAATCTCCAGCCACATACGACCCTCGGAGCGCCAACAGTGCAACTTTCTATTGTACTGTGGTCCACCTACAATGAGACCAGGATGTTCCCAAGAGTAAGGGGCTGTGCCTTCTTTGCTTGTTGAAAAGGAGCATGCCAAAGACTATGCCAAGAACTTCTTGAGCATGATGCGTGGCCAAACGTGGGACTCTGAACTTGAAGTGCTGTGCAGTGCTCCTGCAGCGGAGGACTACGTTCTATGATACCTTGTTCTGACCCCTGACAGGTCTTGGAGCGATCTTCGCCAGGGCACAGCAAGAGACGACATCTCGGTTGGTAATATGAGCCGCGTCGTTTCCATCAAGAAGCCACAATCTTCTTCGTTTTGCTGCCGTAAGAAGGCAAAACCGCGAGTCGCTCATGAAGAGTTGGGATGAAGTACAGCCGCGCAGCCGTGCTGGGTGCGGGTGCCTCAGATCCAACATCTGCAGGTCCATGGCTCTGCCCTGTTTATCAGTGCTGTGCTCGCCGGCCTTTCTAGACAGAAAGCTCGTGCAATTTTTGTTTTGTGTTTCACATGATTCTGCCTAGTGGACGCATCCAGTCTTCCGCTTCTGCAGCGGGCTATCCAAAGTTCGGCTGCGCTAGTGTTAATGCTGCCCACGAGGAGTGCGCTCCTTGTGAGGTCTATAGTAGTCTATAGTCTTTTCGAGACATCCAGGATCCCCAAATGGGGCCGGGAGAGCATGAGGTCAGATGTCTCCAGAAGAAGTACGCCGCCAGCGCAGCGGCTGACAAGACCTTTGAACGACCCACGGGAGCAGCATGCGTAGCTGTAGCTGGATGATCAATGGCATGTTGATGCAAACCAGCTCCCTGCCTGGCGACGAACTCGGCCGTGCATGGAGTCTGACGCGGAAAATCTCGTTTCAGTCATTTGCCAAAACAGCTGCTTGCTGCGCACCAGGACCGTGCTCTGCTGGCCAAAAGAGGTTTCGAATCTGAGAGTGTGTGAACACGCTTTGCATGCAGTGTGCATCCAACAAAAGTTGTGTAGGTGCTCGTTTGTGGTATCTTGAGGTTTTTCAAGCTTCCAAAGCTGTTTTGGGTCTTCGAGACGCCATTGTAGCAGTTGTGGGCTTCCAGAACGGTGTGGCGTTTTGCCCTCGGGAAGCGGGCCAGGGGCCAGCGGGTTCGGATGCATGGAACACGGTTCGGAATGCAGTGCTAGTGCTAGGGGTTTTCTTACAACTATTGAATGTCGAGTTGCTTCACTTAAGACAACTCTTTGCAATGTGTGTGAAAGGCTTGCAATTTGGAATTGCTTGGGGGGGCCGGGTTCGACACAGCGCCGGGCGATGCAGCGCCGGGGTGCTGGGGCCCGGCGCCTACCCACCTGGCAGAACTAGATGGCTTCCACTTGGTGAAGGACTCGCGTTAGGAATCGCCTCTGGCCTGAGGCCCGATCCCCCCTTTGACGGAAATACATCCACTATACTTCTGCCGCCAGGGATGCGGATGCAGAACACACCCCAGCGACATCTCTATTGCGCACTGAGGTGCTTTAGAGAAGGCTACTCATCAGCGAGGTCCATGGTGGACTTAGCTTCCCGAACCATGGTTAGGGCGATTCTGCCGGCTGCTGCGCCAGCTCAGTTGGATGGGCTCAGCACAACGTCCGCACACTTGCCGCCCGTGAGCTTTGCGCAAATTCGTTGGCGAGGACGCCAAAGCAAAACCTTGTGCTGTAGCTTCGCTCCCACATCTTTATGTCCACACTGTTTGGGGTCTTCGCCGGCGTTAATTGTTTTGGCAAAAAGGGTTTATGTGTCGGTTAGCCGGTAACTGAGCCTCGGTGCATCTCAAATATGTTGAGTCACTGCAGAGACCGTCACAGAGAGTCGCACTTTCTGGACGGCAAGGTCAAACATCTTTTGCTGTTGTGCTCACTATAACCGCACATGGCAGGGAAAACCTTCGAGTCATCAAGCAGGGGTTGCTTGAAATTTGAGGCAGGAAGACCAGTCGTAACTTACGTTCAAAGCCGACCTAAAGAACGTGCACTGCGTGCACACCCACGACGAAAGCAACCTGGCCAGCTGTTGCTCCGTGCAGCCATTTCCAGTTTTCTGCTCGAAATTGTAGCACTTGCTTTGGGGTATTTTGCGATGGAGGAGGAGCATGACAGCAGCGAGAACAGACCTGCAAGCAGGTTTTGGGAGTTGCACCAGAGGTTGGCCGAGTGCTATGTTCAAGACATGGCCGGCAGAACAGAGAAGCGGCTACCTGACAGTTTTCAATCATTCGTTGCAAAGCGACGTTCCTCCCAACAAGCCATGAGCCCGGTCATCACCGAAAGGCGAGAAGTCAACATCACGACTTTACTGGATTCCAAGGGCAAAGCCCGGACAGAGACTGACATCACCCTGGCTCCTCTTCCTTGTTGGAAACAGCACAAATCGGAGCACCGCACTTCTAGCAATCGCGCGGTTTCTGTAGATGCCCTGATGTCGTCGCTTCCCAAAAGGTCTGGTTCATTCACGGCTGGTGGTAAGGATGGAGTAGGTTTAGAGCTACCTCTTAGGGGTAGGGCCAGTTCGCTGGTGCTACATCCAGGAGGAGCGCGCAGGACAGTATGGAACATTGCAGTCGCACTAGGTGTGCTGCATGATTTAATCTTCGTGCCAATGTATGTCTTCAATCTCCCTGACACGACGTTCTTCAAAGTCATGGAGTGGGTAACGCAGATATTTTGGAATGTGGATCTCATCGTTTCGCTTTTCACCGGCTACTACGACGAAGGCATGCTCGTCCTGGAGCTGAAGAAAACGGTGATGAATTATGCTAAGACATGGATGATTTTCGATGTCTGCCTCATCACATTGGACTGGTCGATTGTTTGGATAGACACTTTAGGTGCCGATCAGGGTGACTTCGTACAGTGGTCACGCACAATCAGCATGCTCCGGATCCTGCGCCTACTTCGTATGCTTCGCTGGGTGAAGCTTCGCCGGGTGAATGATGCTTGACGGAAATATGAGGACCCACCTAAAACCCCAGACCGTGGAACATCGTGAAACCCCGATCTCGTGACCTCAAGGTGCGTCTCATCCTCTACAAATCACCCTAACATCCAATAACCTAAACTTGGCTTTGGGCCCTCCTCAAACTTAGAGCTTCGCAGCTCAGACAAAATTGGGTTTGTCACTGGAGCTTGGCTTGCCTTCAAAGCACCTTGAAGATCCGATCCTACGCCGTTTGTCAAATCCACGTGCGTGGTCCATCTGCGCAGACATGCTCATGCTCAACATGCGCCCGTCCACGTGTCCATGCATGTGGTCGAACACAATCAGCGTTTGGGAGCGCATTTCTCATATGCAGGGCCATGTGCGTCTTGCACGCCCGCGCAATATGCATCTGTCCTGAAGGAGGACTGCATTTGGGGGCCCAGAAGCCCAAACCCTCAGCCTGTCCCACCTACATGCTCTCGGTGCGTTTCGGAGACATGCGACCGGCCACGTGGGTTGACGCATAGCTTGGGACAGAGCCTTGGGTGGTAAGGCTGCACCAGCTTCTTTGTGCTTCATTTGCCACAAGCTAAGGAAGTCTTCCAAGAGTTGCTCCACACACAAGCTGCGAGCCTGTACTACAGTCTCTTTGGTAGCATTGCGCGTTTGCTCATTCTGAATCACCTGGTGGCCTGCTGCTGGTATGCAGTCGGCAATATTGGTGGTGAAACAGGCTGGGTTGCCGCCGATGGATTGGAGACGCATTCACTCTACCACAAGTATGTGGTGTGTCTGAACTGGGCATTCGCACAGCTAAGCGTCGGCTCAAGCGAGCTGGTTCCTGCCAGCACTTTCGAGTTCTCATTCTGCGTCTTAGTGGCTTTCAGATCTTTGATAACATACTCCACACTCATCAGCACCATGACGTCGCTGCTGAGCGGCCTCAGCAAGATCAAGGACTGTAGCCCTTGGCAGCTTTTGGGTTTTGTATTCAAGAGAACTAGGACAAAAGAAGTTTGAACCCTTGAAGCCCCAGACCCAATACCCTGAACAGGAGGATGAGAATACCGAGTTCCGGATGTTACGAAGCTACTTGGTTTTTCACGACATCGGCAAAGAGCTGCAGCAAAAGGTGACGCGATTCTTGCAACACCAGTACGGCCTTCGGCAGCAAGCAAAATCTGCAGATGCCCAAGTTCCCTTACTGGAGCTGCTTTCCTCTCGACTCCAAGGAGAGTTGAGCTTCGCAAAATATAGGAAGGCTCTTGAAAGGCTGGCCTTTGTTGATGAGCTCTTGATGTCAAATGATTTGGTCCTCATGCAGGTCTTGCACAAGTTGGCCGTTAAGGCCGTGCGGGATACTGTTGCAGCCGGTAAGGACGTCATCTTCCTTGCCGGAGACGTGGCCTCCGCATCGTTCTTTAAAGTCTCAGGTGATCTAACTTATTTCCATAGCAATGAGCAATATGAAATTGTCAACTCGACTTGGATATCAGAGCACTGCCTGTGGACACCGTGGGTGCACTTGGGCGACCTGGTCTCTCAAGACTTCAGTCGGCTGGTCGTGATTCACGTGCAGGAGTTCTGCGACATTCTTCGTGAAAATGCTCGAGCACACAGTGCTGCCGCAAATTATGCGAAAGACTTCATTGCCAGTATGCGCACCCGTCCGCTTTGGACCGACATCCTTCCGCAGAAGGCCTGCACCAATCTGCACCATGCCACTAGTAGTCGCTTAATCATGCGTGAAGAGATCTCAGTGAGAGACAAATCCGTGGTCAGGAGACACTTGCGGGTGTCAGCGAGCGTGAGGTAACTCTTCCACTCAAATGTTGCCCTGGCCTTAGAGAACCAGTATAGGTAGCGCCAACCTGTGCGATGTTGTAGTGTTGCCTGCAGATTGCTTCCATGGCTGACAGTGGCACAGCGGGAACACATGCGGAAAGGGAGCCTGGAAGTCGCAATCCCCAAAGGTGACCGGCTGAGGGCCCAGTGGCTGGGCACGAGGGCAGCTCCTACTTCGGACCCACGAGTGTCTCCGCTCGACTTCCATGTCATCCGCCCGGACGAGGAGCTAGCTCCAACATGCCAACATCCCCCCAATGAACAGAACAAGAGTGACAAGAGTCTTCGGTTTTTGGCAGCGTTTTCAGTTGGCGGCTTTCGGAGGTGAATGGCGCGCCTCACAATTTGACACATTTGCGCAGGGTGACACAAAATCCGGCAGTTGACATTTGTCGGACGGATGTTGCGTTCGCAGACTTGGTTAAGAGCCCAGGGATGTTATCAAACTGTCGGCATGAACAACAGGCAAAAGCACGTTCTAGCTCCCTCAGGAATTAGGATGCTTTCGACGACGGTGTTTGCAGTCTAAGGCCTCGTGCTTTCAGAGTTAATTTGCATTATTCTGGGCACCTGCCACGTGCCACATGTGAAGGGTAGCAGTGTAGCGCTCCTCAGCAAGACGCCGTCTGCAGGACGCTTCAGTGGGATAGATGCGTCCGCGATGTTTCGCACCTCGCCGTGCCTCCGTTTTGCCATGCTCATGTTTGGTGATCATGTATATATGTTTCTGCGCCATCCTGGCAATGAACAGTCAGATGGTCAGCGAAACATGCTTGTCCTTCCTCTGCCGTTGGAATCTGAGCCTCGCGGGGTGAAACGGCAAAGCCGTTTCACCTGTGGCCACATTCTGGTAATCCATCTCGGCCAAGCATAAACCCTGTAGAGGTAGCCCCCTCTGACTGGCTCGGTGAGGGGGTTGCTTCATGCCACTTGCGCGCGAGAAAAAGGCAAGTGGCCATTCAAGGAGTGGGGGGGGAGAGGGAGCTTGGGGAGGGAGCTTGGGGATGGGGGAGGGACTGCGATTTCCCGATGTATTGGAGATTGAGTTGCGGTGGCTCAAGATGCCACGACATACGCCAGTCAGTGTCAAAGTAGCCCCACCTATGGACTCAGCACCCAAGTGCACCCGAGAACACACGTTCAGAACAAATTGAAAGCAAACTCGTTAGCAAACTCGTAGCAGCCTTGTCTTCAAGTCTGGCTGTAGGCTCCGATGGCGCAAGGACCTTGGGATCGCTTGCACTCTCATGCAACAGTCTCATGGCAAGCACTCTTTCAAGGTTCCATGGCACGCCCGTGGAAGTACGCAAAAACCAGAAATCCACCACATGGTTCTGGGCCCAGACCTTCAATCCACATGAGCATTGAGCTGCTTGTCTCGTCTCATAGCGAAGATGAAGCTACTTGACCAGCTCAGAAGCTGATGTTGCTTGTCCTTCCACCAAAGTGATCGATCGCAGTTGGGTATGGCAGAATGAATCCGTGACTTGCAACTAACAGCAGGTACAGTGGTGAACTCATTGACATCAACGGAGAGGATCGCATCAAGGTTCGTTTCGAGGCGCATGCTTTGCTTGCAGATCAGAAGATTCATCATGAGGGACGAGATATGCTTGTCACACGAATTTGGTCCAGCTGGTTGTATGACCAATGTTGACCACTTTCGCTGCAACCATCAGAGGTCGAATGCTCGCTTGATAAGTGAAGCTGCAGCATCAAATGTTTTTGTAGTACGCCAACCGTCCAGCCCGCTCCTGTGACGTGACTGGTGGCACTGTGGCACCGAAGCTGTCAAGCCCTGCAACCCTGACCTCTCATACTTCCAGCTGGGTCAGGACGACATTTGGCCGATCCGCGAGGTCCCCGCCTCTTCAGTTCGTCGCCTGCCAGAGGAGCAAGGGTTTCTCGGGCTTCGATTGAGGGGGACCGAAATCATCTCGGCACTTCAGGAAGAGGAAGTCAGCATCCTGTTCCGCCAAACCGGAAGCAACGCCAACCGCCAACCTGCCAATCGGCCGAACCAAAGAACCAACAGGAGGGAGCTAATGACGACTTCAACCCGCAAGTGGATGAGGCCGTGTGTTTTTGGACTGTGTCCATGATGCAGTATGTTTGGGAAGCAGACGCGTTCCCCCCCCCCCCCGGCACGGGCGCGCGCGCGCGTGCGCGCGGGACTTTGCACAAGAATTCCCTGCAGACCGTGGAAGTCCTTCTGTCCGCCACGGAATCGAATCCAAGCGGCTGGGCCTTAGGCCGGGCATTGTCCTCGTTCATGAGTCAGCCTGCCATGGAACTTGCTCTTATTCGTGCTGTGATCCCAGGCCTCACACATCCTCACATTCTACAGACCTTTAAGCATGTGCAATTTAAAGCCTGAAGATCGGCTCACCAACCAATGCATGTGGGAAACTGGCTGGAGAGTCTTGTCTTGTACTGTAGAGATTGCAAGCAAAGAAGACCTGAAATGGGCGGTGCATGGCGGTGCCCGCTTGCAGCAGGTAAGGTGAAGACCATCAAGAATTCCTTCTACTTCATCACCTTCGATCCAACACAAAAGGGCAAGCAGGATCTTCAGACGGCGGGTGGCAAAATCTGACAATGCCGATACACGGTGTACACGGTAGGATAGGCATACGTACATTTTCTGTCAGGACTTAATCGTCGAGCGCAAAGCCCTACGGCGAACCAGCCCCGAGCAGCAGTTGGACGTGTCATCGATGATCCGGAGGTGCATGAGGGCAGGGGAAGTTCACGGGTGGTGCAGGGAACAGCCATTCAGGCATTGGGGTCACATGTTGTTATATGTTGTTGCTGTTCTCGGCTGGTGTCTCAGACCCTTAGACCTCCAGCTCATCCATGACTTGTTACTGTTAGAACCCCCACACAACCTATGTTGTGCGAGGCTTCTGTCTGTGGATCCCGACCTGCATGGCTGGATTCGGTCTCAGGCACACTAGACTGCTACATGTGGTAACGTGATAACGTGGCCCTCGGAAAGTGCTGGAGGATTCCTCTGGCTGCCTGAACCATGTGCAGAACAAGTGCAACTTGCTAGTGGCAAACTGTGGGCACCCAAGTCTTGGCGCAAAGTTCGCTGAAGTCACTTTGGACTCCTGGGCTTGCCAACAAAGGCACAAATGTGGAGCTTGGAAGCCAGAAGGATCCAGAGGCCGGAGATACCGATGTGGAGGATGGGCCTCACAGCCCCGGGTGCTTTTTCGCAGCAGAGCATGTCTTTGCTGCAGCACGGCTAGCAAGCTTCATGGGTTTCTCGGCACACTCCCCTTCCCAAACAATTGAGGGCCCTGTGGGACGGTCCGGTGCATCTTCTAAAGTAGAACGCTGTGCACAGGCCACAGCGACCTCATCCGATGATGCTTGTTGCAAGGTGCTGCTCATCGGAGGAGAACGTGAGATTCGGCTGGGGGTACTCTTATTGGAGTCGCTCCGGCACCGTTGGCTGTCATAGACGTGCGAAGTGCTAGCAACATCCCTCATGGCAGGCAAATCCACTTCAAGTACCAGCTGCAGATGCAGAGGTCTGGTCCCAAGGTGTCATGTTTGTTGGCCTAAAGAAGCACAGGAAACATGAAGCACTGAATCCGCTGTGGGAGGTTTCACGAGCACCGTGAGCAGCTCATGGAGCGATTGACAATGCTCGGGCCCTGAACAGATGATGCTGCTACCTATGGATGATAGTTGTATACCTGTGAAGCGGCTCCATTTTTGTTCTGCTGGACGCCATCTCAACTATGTGCTGCTGGACGCCATCTCAACTAGGTGTTCTCATAGGAGTGCCGATTCAAAGGTACCGATGGGGTTCTGCTAGAAAGGGGATGAGTGAGGAAGGGCAATTGTCGTGAATGTGACGAACGCAGCAGACTTCTGGTAGGAATTCGACGCCTGAAGCTTTTGAAGCCACGGGGAGCAGATTCGAAGGTTGCGAGCAGCTCATTCTGTCACCGCCAGGGCCAAGCAATGGCACTCCGCGCAGCATCAGGAGGCCACAGTGTGCTACTGGCTCTTTGTAGGGAATTAGGGCCCTACATATGTTTATAATCACTTAAAGAGTAAATATAGGGCCCTACTTCCCTCATTCCCTGCTAAGAACCAGGGGGGCCTAGTCATGGCAGGCGGTTTACCGATGGCTTGCCGTCTAAATCCCGCTCTTCGGAGGTCTTTCAAGTCGACCAAACCCTGGTCGGCCGGGTCATTGGCAAGAAGGCTCTGGCGAGAGCTTTCGATGCGAAATTCCACGTGTTAAGGAAGCTTGTGCATGCACAGGAATGCCTGTGCAAGTTAATATTGTTTTGCAGCTGGTCTTTAGTTCGTGCATCAGCAATTAGTACTTCATAAATAGTGACAAAAGTCACGTTGTTTTGCTAGTTTGTCTGGCAGCGATAATTTCCATTTTCAATACTGGTAAACGACGTGATCAGAGTCCACTACATTGTTTGCTTTGTTTCTAGCCGGAAAATGCAAGACTATTGACATGGCCCTTGAATGAGATGCATACTGAAGTTGTCTTGCGATAGAGTTATTTAACTTAGAATCTAGATTTTTCGGTTCTCTCAGTTCGAGCGTTTCCTTCGTGTATTTCTGCATATATGTATCTGTATATTTGCATCTTTGCATACCTGTACATATGTACATATGCATATAAATATATACATTAAAAAAGTAAATACAAAAAGAAAGAAAGAAATAAATATGTATATATATATATATATATTATTTTTGTTTTTATGTACGCTCTCGCGCCTTATCCCCTGTGAGTTCTGGCTTTGGTCAGGGCGAGAATGTTCGGGAGATCCGTGAACGACACGGAGTCGATGTGTGGATCGAAGATCCTCGTGGCAACAGCTCTGCCTGCAGGCGTGGATCTCAAGCCCACACAAAAGATCGGAGCCGGGGCAAAACGGCATATTAGTTTCGTGCAAGGGAAGCTTTGCAGCAACGCGGAGTGGACAAGTGTAGCCCTGCCTAACTCATCTGTCAGGGTGACGGTGTGTGGGCAGACACCAGAGACCGTGAAGGCAGCACGTGATGAGCTGGAGTTCATTACTGCCCAGTGCTCAGTGATCTTCAAGTTTCCTAGCATCCTAGGGCGTGATCGTTGACAGCACACCGAAGGTTTCCATTCCAGTTGATGGGGAGCACGTTGGCTGGATCTTGGGCAAGGGCTACCAGACCATTACGGACTGTGCACAGTGTACTGTCTTGAAGCGGGGCTGTGCAAATCATTCATCAGACACGTCCCCAACGTGCGTTTTTTTCACTTATTTCTGCAGGACATTGCCGCCAAGACGCATCTGCACCATGCCAGGACGGGCCCGCCAACATCCCAAGCCATGCTGGCGCAACATCTGCTGCAGCTTTGTGAAGCGCAGCGACACCCATTCCTGCCAACAGATACGATGACAAGTCCAAGACTTTGGAGCTCTGTGGTCTGCGCAGCCAGGCATGTCTTCTTTGCAAATTCTTTGCAAAGCCCTCAACACAACAAGCATCGCTGTACTCAAAGACGGTCAACATCTGTGGATCCGCGGCCTTGATCTCGTTTGGCTTGTGTCAGAAAAGTTTTGGAAGGTAGAGGACGCCAAGCTCATGATCTCGGTTCATCGTGAGTACCTCCCGGTGTACCGGGATATGGACCAGGCAAGCGGTTCCTCGCTGGTGGTTTTGGGGCAGGGCGACAAACAGCTGTGTGACATTGAAGTTTGCCACTGCAAGTGGCAGGAGCAAAATGCCATCCAGATGTCCTTCGACCAGCTTGATGGTCCTGGCCTCAGGTCTCCTGGAAGGGTTGAGACCAAAAACATCGCACAACTCAGGTGTGGCGAACACCAAGGGGAAGGGCAAAAAAGGCGAGAAAGGCCCGTGCTGGCTCGTGTGCAGAACGCCACGAATGTACTGCAAGAACAATGTGCTGTTTGCAAGGAAAAGAGTCCAAAGGTGAAGGGGAACATGATGAGGGCGGGAAGACGAGGCTGCTTGTGTTGATACATATCTTCCCATGACCAAAAGAAGAGATTATGCTGACCCGACCGCAGGAAAGGTGATGATCCTTCTTCCAAAGGTTGGAAAGGCAAAGAAGGAAAGGAGGGAAAGGAGGGCAAGCAAGGAAAGGAAGGCAAGGAAGGCAAGGAAGGCAAAGGCAAGGGAGCCAAAGAGGGAAAGGAAGGTAAGGATGGGAAAGGCTCCAAAGGCCGGCAGTTTACTGGCATTCCGTGCATGGGCATGCGTTGCTTTTCAGACCCCCGAGGTGGAGACGATGACTATGCAGGGCTCCTAGCGATGGCTCAGTGTTAGTGTAAGGGGCCGATTGATGACTGAGGCCTTGCGGCCACTTTTGCTCGTGCACGTGAGAACTCCAACTGAATTGTTCGTTTCCATGCTGCGTCCCAGGCCTGTGTACTAGGCCAGACTAGTCATGGCCGGGGGTTCTGAGAAGATGGCTACAGCTGCGCACTTTTTGTCCCTGACCCCAGCCTGCGCGCAACTTTTGCATTGGCAAAGGATTCAAGGGAGCACGGCAAGAAGGGCAAGGATGGAAAGGACCCCGCGGCAGGTCACAGATGCATTCAGCCTGTGCCTTGTTTCCGCTCTCCGCACCTTTTTGTCTTGTAAGGTGGAGGTGTTCTTGAGACTCAAGATTCCGCAACATTCCGCGAGTTGGTAGCGGCTCTACCTAGTCCATACACCTCGAAGTGGAACCAGCCCTCACAGGACGGAAAGGGCGGAGGAAAGGACAGTGGTAAAGAGGGTGGAAAGGAAGGAAAGGAAGGAAAGGAAGGCAAGGAAGGCAAGGAAGGTGGGAAGAGTGGCAAGGACAAAGGAAAGACTGGCTTTGAAGACAAGGACAGAGAGAGAGATTCTGGAAAGGAAGGCAAGGGTAAGGATTCCAAGAATGGCAAAGGAGGCAAGGAGGGTAACGCGAAAGGAGGCAAAGAGGGAAGAGAAGGAAAAGCTGGCAAGGGATACAGGGAAGGCAATGAAGGCAAGGACAAAAGTGAAGGTAAGGGCAAGGGGAAAGATGATTCCGAGAATGGCAAAGGGGAAAGAGAAGGAAAGGGAGGCCCCGTGTGCGACAGCAGATGAACTGAGCAAAGCTGCTCTGCGTGCACCGTTTGGAAGGTTTGCCCAGATAAGTTGCCCACACCATTCTTGAGGTAAGAAGGGAAAGGGAAAGGCAGGGAAAGGTGAGTGATCGGCGCCTTTCTTGACGGCCTCTTCCGGTCTTGTTAACGCACATCTCCTGAGTTGGACTCAGCCTGTGCTCACAGCAAAGCAGACATCAGCGACCCCTATATACATATATATATATATATATTTGATTATACTACTATACTTGGTGGTTTACGCTCGCATAGGGGTTAGTCACGGTTAGTCAAAACACTTGCAACGCTGGCTTTGACTGTGGGCAGCCTTGCGGAGTCCGGAAGCTATGCTATGGAGATTTAACCAAAAGAGGTCGTTTTCTTTGCGTGAAGCTGACAAGTGGATGTCATCATGTGAGCATGCTTGATCTTGTGAGCATGGCCGCTGGATGCTCACCAGAGCGTGTGATTGCATGGCATGCAAGAACTCCTGTAGCAGGGTTCAGCTGTCTCCCGAAATATGTTTAAAACTTAAGAGTGACCAAGCACATAGGCAAGCAAGTACTTGCCCCATGGGCCCCATTCCGAGTGCTTGGGTGTGTTGAGTTCCCCGACTCGCCATGTGGCGTTTGGCCAGAACGTACCGGCTGCAAGCTACCTGCAAGAAGACCAGATTCGGTCAATTCTTTCGGTCTTCCTTCATGGATTGAGATTCTGATTCTACCTGCTGGGCACCTGCTACCATGCAGGGCGTGTTGATCTGCGCAGGTAGTCGCCAGCCTAACTCTTCGTATGTCCATCGGAAAGGTTTAAACACAACTAAACAGAGCTGGTTGTAGGAAGATGAGGGCAGCGTGAGCAATATCAATCAAGCTTTTGGAGTCGCTTGGTGGGACAATGGTGTGGTTCAAGAATGGGGTAATCAACACCTCAAAATCTGCCCCAATCTCCCTAAGCATCTCTAAGCGCTGCACCTTTGTGGTAGCCGTTTGACAAGGCCCCAGACTTGCATCCATGGACGCATCGGCCATTCTCGTCTGGGAGCATCAGGCCTTGGTCTCCCTGTGGAGCTCGGAAATTTGGGTTGAGGACTTGAGGATTTAGGGATCCGGGCTCCCTTCAAAGCGCGCACGCGCTCTTCCTACCTCCTAAGCCTCCCGGATTCCCAAACCTGAAAGCCAAGAAAACTCGGCCACGTCCTCCAAGGCATTTGCAGCTGTAGCACCAGTATTTTGCGTATTCGGGTGATGCGCACTAGCGCTTGGGATACACAACCATCGTTTTCTTGGGGTTTGGGACTGCTGGCTTGCTGGTAATTTACGCCAAAGACTAGACTGTGCTTTCCCGGCAGCCGGCAACGCGAAGCCATGCTTCCAGAGCCTGTGAGCTTACCAGACATACAGGTGTGCAGCCTCTCCGAACACTGACCGCGCCTCAGTGATCTCTAGAGTGCCCCGCGCTGCCACTCCTTGTCTCTAAGATTCTCTAAATCTCCAAGTGAAGCGTGCGCTTGGGTTGCAGGAGTACCTCGGAGCAGGGCGGCGGCCTAAGGAATGCATTACGAATCTAATTCTCTAAGCTTCAGCTTTCGAAGCCTCATCGGTCGTGTGCGGTGTCTTCGCAAGTCTTCCAAGAGGGTGACATTGACTTGGGTGATATCTGGCCACCGTTGGCAGATTCTAGCGCTGCAGCGTGCTCTGCCGACGACGAGGCTCGCACAAGTGGATTGACATGTACTGTGCCTAGCAGGCTAGTAGCTTCCCACCAACGCCTCAAGGACTAAAGGTTAAGTCATTAAGGCCTAGGGTGCCACGACCATTTTCTTGTCTGACTCCGCACTTAGTACTCACGTTGAGTGCCAGGAGTCCGGCTTGTTCTCTGATGCGTCCGAAACTGAGCTGCGACTGTCTCGATTTGGGTGGATCTTTCGATGCAGATGACGGCTCGGCTCGTACGTGTCCTTAGCGCAGACTGCGGTGCTCGAGCAGCTCGATCATGCACAAGATTCTCAGAACTCCCCCTGGCCCGAAACGAGTCTACCTTGAATGATACCCGTGCAAAATATGCAAACCTCTGGCCTGGCTCTTCAGGTGGTGGCCAGATGTCGCGCAGCGCTGTCACGAACGACTGGCGCAGCGCCCGCACCTGCTCCCGGAGGACCTTCCTTCAAATGGGGGTGTACGATACTAAGGGCCCCCCCCAGAATAGACCCCAATAGTAAAGGATCCCCTTAAAATAAGGGCCCCGATAAGGTACCCCTCTTGTTGCAAGCCCCCAGTTCGGTTTGTTTTTCAGGTTGCAGGCGGGGAGGCGAGCAAGCTGAGACATCTCAAGGACTGCAAGGCTCATTCGGGAAACGCAACCAAGGTGGCTAGGCCTTCTGAATGACCATGAACCTACAACGAAGGCTTCAAGGGTGGCCTGTTCATAGAGTTACAGACTACCTTGGAGCTAAATTTAAGTTCAGATTATGATTAATTAGAAGCAGGTCCTCCACAAGGCCCATCCTGCGCAATGCGGAACATGCATGATGCCGAGTTCAGCTTGGAAGACCTGAATGGAACCTGGATTTGTCCAAAAGGAGTGCTGCACACGATACAGGGAGGCATGCTCTTCCTTGCTGAGGGGAGTTCCGAAAATTTCCCCGAAACCTTACAGTTTCGAGCCGATCGCACAGACAGGCATGGGCCGAATCATTTCTCGGTGGGTCGCAGGCGGCGTAAGGGCACCCACCCATCCACTCTGCGTCGGTGCATTCTTCGGTCCAGCTGCAGCTTGCAGTGGACAAGCCCCGATATGCAGGAGACGTGGCAGCGCTTTGTGCCGTGCATCGCGCGCTGCGAGAAAATATTGCTCGTGGGACCTGATGGCACTGATGGCACCGAGGTGCCTGTTCATGTGACCAAGGCCACAAATGCCAAGCAGCTGTGCACAGCGGCCATGGTTCCTTTCTATGGGCAGCTCGGGGTTTATTGCTCAGATGAGATAGCTTTGACAGAAGTTGCAACAGGAAAGGTGCTGACGGATTGCTGTGACCTTTCCAAATCCGGGGATGTCCAAGAGCCTGTCAAATTGCGTGTGTCGACTTGCCTGGCCAACTTGATCTCCTTTGCCGGAGTGCGGCTCGTTTACCAAGATGGCAGCGAGTGCAAAGCTGACTTGAGTCGCGCTTATCGGGTAGCCCACGTGTTCGAGAAAGTGGCAGAACACACCTCAAGGCCCCTTGATTTCGTCACGCTCTTCCAGATTGGCAGTGGCGGAAAGTCTGAACCACTTTGGAATAATCACATCTGGAGGGCGCGACAAGACCACAAAGTTGTACTGGAGGTGCACTTGCGTGAAACTGTAGCAGAGCTTTGGTCCTCAAGGAGGCTCACCCTCATGCGCGATGGCCAGGACTGGCACATAGACCTGTCGAGTACATGGGACATTGGGCAGCTGCGAGAATTAGCCGCAAGCTTGACAAAGCGCCCACCCCGCTTTGTACGCTTCACTGCGGATGGCAAGGAATTGAGAACCTGGGACCCTAATCCTGGAGAGAGCATACTGCTCAACGTGCAGCTATGCCCAACGGTTACCGAACTATGCCAAACCGGCGTCAAGATAGTCAGCTCTTTGACTGGCGACGAGATTCCCATAGCCGCAGAGGAAGCTACGGGCCTGCAGTCTATCCAAGACCTGCGTGAGCACATCGCTCGGCGCCACAGCATGCGCCCCACGGGTGTGATGCTTCTTGCCAATGCCCAGCCGTTATGGGACGCCCAAATCTTTGACCTGAGCATGTTGGGTGCTGGGGACTCCATAGGAGTTTGCCTTCGCAATCCCAAGCTTTGCGAGGAGGGCCAGCATGACAACGTGGTGTTTTGCAGCAACGGTCATAGTGATACGGTGTGTGTCCACTGTGGTCCGCTGAGCTTGATGAGCAGGCACTACATACCTGAACCACCCAGGACATCTGGTCAAACTCAGTGGTTTCATTTTTGAAGCTGGAAGCCATTGGCTTCTGTGCTCATACCGATTACAGGTTGACCTGTGTGGTGTACAGTGTACAGAGCGAGCACAGCTCGCCTTCATGGTCCAATCACCTTCGGTTGAACCCTTGAAGAAGAAGGCATTCCTGAAGCCATGCTTTGTGGTCACCCACGCATCATGTCTGTTTGTTGTTTCTTTCCCGCGACATGAATTCCCTTCAAAAGTCATAACGGCCTTGTTGGCCAGAAAATGAGCATCACTTGTGACGAGAAGAGACGATAGATGCTGAAAATGACAACATGCTTCTGCTTTTGCACCAGGACCCCATGGCGCAAGGTGTTCTCTCCTGGGCGCGCTTCTTAGAAGCTGTGCTGCATAGGATTTAGGCTTAGGCGTTTCGAGTGGTTCATCTAGCTAGAGGCAGGATGCCCCCTTGCAAATCAGCAAATCCTGTCACATTGGTAATCGCACAGGCATAAGTCTGGCATTCAAAAGTCCGTGGCCAATAATACTACCAATGCCAAGGTTTCCGAAACAGCTCACTGCTGCGGTTCTAAGGTTTATTTGTACCAGCGATTGTGTCGCACACCTCTCGGGATCGCGTTTGTTTTCCCTCCTTCATGTTTACATTTTCCAGTCTTGTCTTCTCTCCTGCCTTGGAGCCGCATTGTGCAGTACACCTCCTTCCTGTCTCGCTTTGCAGCCGGATCGTCCAGAGCCCGGTTGAGTCTCCCTAGCTGATGTCCTCCGCATGTCTCCCTGCTTGCTTGCTCTTTGGAACGGGATCTTGCGCAACCCTTCTCGCTAACGCCCCTGAATCAGCGTTCTTGCGCTCCAGGCTGCCAAAAACCCAGCGCACTACTCCACAGGCCAACCAGTCTGGTCACACAGGCAAATTTGATACCCTCGGGATTGGAATTGGTACCATGTGGCTGAACCGATCGCAGGCCCGGCGGGCTCACGCATGCAAACGGAAGAGTCTCCATTATAGGACCAATTATCTCCGACAAGCCACATGTCTTTGTCCAGTGGCTCAGGTCGGACTATGTTGAATCCACTTAATTGTAAACGCTTGCGCGCGCCGCCTCGGCAGCCGGGCCGGCCCCAGGACAGGAAAGGAGGAAAGAGTGTTTCTGCCAAAAAAAGGGAGGGTCCTAGGGAGGTTAAAGGGGTTAAGGGGGGGTGGGGGGGGGGGGGGGTGGCCCGATCCGGGCCTGCTTGCTCCAGGCGCTTCTCGGCAGGAAGCCGAGGCGAATATGGAGTTGCCAATCGCTAGATTTCAACATGTCTCTTCCATGGGATCAAATAAGCTGGGGGGACCCACAAACCTCGAGAAGGACCCGCAGCCCAGCCCCAAACAAAGACCTCCAAGGACCTGACAGAGGACCTGAGAAACCCAGAAGAACAAGGCCTCGAATACGACTTGCAGGCCTATAGTGCTTGTAGGTCCTGGCGCCTGGCAGAAGACCTGGAGGGACCCACAAAAACACACCCATTCATTCGCTTGCTCGGGCCGTTTTTTGAACCCCGCGTAGCGGTGCGGGCCCCCCGTGCGCTTGCGTGCGTGAGCTCGCTGGCTTTCGAGTGCTGTCTGGGCTTTTGTGTCCCCAAAAATCTCATTCGCATGAGTTTCGGCTTCTTTGAGGGTGTCATAAACCTAGACTCCCAGCCCTCTCCCCGCCTCGCCAACTGAGGGTAGCAAATTTTCCCGGGCATGCTTCGATCGGCTGCATTCTGCAGGACCAGTGTCACTACATGGCCGTCCCAAGCCTGAAAATACTCCGAGATCCTGCACCAGTTTTGGCGACACGCTCGCCGTAGCACACTTGAAAACTCCACACTGACCAATGTTGTTTGCTCCTCATCCCCGGCAGATCACTGTGGTTTCACAGATGCCTGTTGGCGTTTTGCGTAGGCGAGCATTGCTATCAGTTGTTTTTCCCCACCTTTGGTGCGGGGTTGTTGGATTTTACACTCAATTCTGCTCCTCGCCCGAACCTCTTCTCCTCGCCGGAGTCCCCAACCCTAGAGTGTCCCTGGAGTGCCCAAACCCAGTTGCAAGCAAAAACTAAGAAAACGTACTTGAATCAATGTGTCTTTGTTTGAGCATCTTATTCGGGCTCTTTCTGTTTCACGAGGATCAAGGTGGGGATGTTCGAAGTGAATTAGTTTTCAATTGAAAATGGACTTTGTGGCCTAGGTAGAGTACGAGCTGGCTAGGGGCGAGCCCGAACCGGGGCAGAAGGCCGGCAGCATGCTGCGGATAGCTGCCTGTGTCCCAAGTTCTTAAACCTTGGCACCAACAGTTCGTTTGAACTTGCCATGTCCGCTTGAACCCGCGCAGACCCTTACGATGCCAAGTGGTTCCCGGAAAACCTCCACGACAGGCCAGGGCGAAGAAGGACGAGATCCCACTTTCACAGCGGGACAGTGCCCAAGTTCAGCCGCGTTCATTCGTTTGGAATGTTTGGAACAGGTTTTTAGAATTCCGAAGGCAGGATGCGCAAGTGTCTACTGTCCTGGGTCATCCGAATGCTCAAATCTCGAAATCTCGAGCCTATGGATGTGGGGCGCATGTCCAGGTATGTGAACTGGGACTTTGGGACATCTGACTGCTCACGCCACGACGTCAGGATGAGCCACCTCAACCACTTCCAGAGGATGGTAAGTGGCTATGGTCACGGGCCCAGATGCCTTGAAGTCTCTGACCTGTCCCGCTGCACACAGCAGCACAAGTAACAAAGCGGTGAACGTGCTTCAGGCCCCAGATTCTGCCAAATCCTAATATTCTTGATTTGAATGTTTTCAGCCTCGAAATCGATATAGTCATGTTGCAGGAGTGGTCAGAGGGGCTTCTGCCATGTATTTATAGCAAGCCCAGTCATCTGCTCTCAGATCAGCCTTGGCACGTTCTTTGTTGACATGCGAGCTGCAAGGCTACTGCGGAGTTCCGGGGAGATTGTCGGGAGCTGCCCTCAGAGGTCTACACTGCCAGTCCATGGCTCTGACCTCGAGTCGCGGTAAGTGTCTGTTCTCATGTACTCCCGGCCCCGAAGCATCTGTCAGGCCCAAGGGCGAACGCAGCTAGCGCCTGACGCAAAAAAGCCCTCTCCTAGAGCACAGAGGGTGTGGGCATGCATGCCCAAAGTGTCCAGGCACACATGCGCGAGTGCGATCACATGTTGTAGTCTTGCCCGTGTTGGTTCAAGGGTAGATAGGCACATGCAATCATCATGATGTAGTGGACAGGCTTCGACAACAGTACACTCGATCCACTGTCAGCTCAACTGATCCCTTCCCCCCCTACGCAGAAACAGGTTTCACATCGGTAGCTCCACAATCGTGGCCGTTGCATCTTCCATGCTTCTACAGCTCTGAGGATGCAGGTGCGGCACAGTTCTTTCAGTTTGCTGGAGCATCGGCATCCATGCAGCGTGATCTCAGCTGGTTGGCCAGGCTCGAGAAGATCCAGACCGGGATGCAGTCATTGCCTGGCACTTGTCTTGAGGAAAGCTTCTTCTGAGACTTGCTCTTCAGAAGCTGACTGCACATCGTGATGAGAGCCACTTGCATCTTAGGATGTCTGTTCATCATGAATAGCTCACGTGTACAACGCTGTGTACACATTGCAGACACTGGAGCAGTCTTTTTTGCGCGGTGTTTTGGCGTGGCCCGATTTGCCGCGGATGTTTGGCTATCTGCTGTGAGCTCTGAGGCAGCGCTGGGTGCACGATGGCAACTAATGTGCAAGAGCCATGCCGCGACCTTGTGAAGACGCTGCGGTACGTTGCCTGAACCACTCCTTGGATGAAAGTCGTGCTAGATATGCGGAATTCAGGCCAGCACGACCTTCCTGTGGTCCGTGGGCGGGAAGAAGAAGCACCCCGTTGCTCGCTTGCTTTGTGGAGCCGCCCCACGTGTCGTGGCCATGTGTGTCACACCGAGCACCCTCTGAAGATCCCGCCCTAGGCAGCAGCATGTGCCGTTTTTCCTCACTTGATGGCAGGTGCGGGTGGGTGCAGCTGCTTCCACGTGGCAAGCTTTCGACTACTTGGTGCTTAGGGCCGGGGTCCCCATTTCAGTTGCAACTCGCCTTGAGTTCCGATGGAGCTGTGCAGTGGGCGTGTGACCATTGGAAGTTGAGGAGCTGGGAAGTCTTGGCCAACAACCCCGATGCCAGCGCCTTTTGTTGCTATGGGTGGGGTGACAGGTTGCGGGCACACGTTTCAGCAAGCTGTTTGAAGGTAATTGACATGAGCTTCAGCGACCACAGACATCTGTGTCATTTCAAGGAGCATGAGCATCATCCCTAGCACCCCTAGCATCATCCCTAGAATGCCATCGAAAGCGATCGTCCTGGCAGGAGGGCGGCTTCGTGGTGGAGCAGAAGTATACTTTGAGGATGGGAGCCAACCCTGCTGCGCTCTGTTTGAGACTCTTGAGACCCGGCTGATGAGGACAGGAAAGGACGCATACAAGCCCGGCGTGACCAAGACGCTTGAACCTAAGCACCTGGATAGAACCTGTGCACAAGGATCTCATCAGAATCCACATGTTGTAAGACAGCAAGCAGTTTGATGTCGTGTTCATCCCAAGGGAGGGCTTCATCACCAGAAATGACCAGCGAGGTCACAGTGCAGCAGCAGACTTACACCATGGAATTTCTTCAAGACAACCGAGCATTGCCAACTTGAAGCTGAGTTACGTTTGCGTGTTGACACGTTTACCCACAGCGTTGTAGCATGTTGCAGCAACATGTAGTAGCATGTAGCAGCATGTAGCAACTGCAACTGCAAGGCTCCGGGCTCCAAGGCCCCCGGCCGAGGTGCCAAACGGAAGGAGAGTGTTTTTTTGGCATCTGCTCTGCCAGAGTCGCGAATCCCAAATGCGTCATGTAGGCTTGTAGGGAGCTCGTGTCATTCTTGAGATTGCAACGTTGACCGCTGCAAAAAGAGTGCCCCTGCGACCTAGACATGCAAACGAGGATGTCAGTGACGACGAGGCCGAAGCGAAGACGGCCAGCTTTCTGCAAAAGGACGCCAGGGCAGAACATGGCAGAACGTTTGACAAGGGATGTCTTGACCATTGCCGTAATGACGCTGCAGACTGGGCCCTGTGAAGCCCTGTTGTGAGGTTGCAGCACCTGTAGGGTTTTTTCAGGTGAAGCATCTTTCAAGCCCCCGCCATCGGAAAGAATCTGAAAATGCCGGTGATATCCGGTTCCTTAATCGGAGAAATGCGGCGGGAGGGAGTCGTGCACAAGGCCTTCCCTACTGCACCAGGGCCCCAACTTATGTGGGAAACATGGTGGCGCGAACGACGCTGCGGCGGAACCTAAGACCCTCGGATGCATGACCCTGGAACGCATGCTTGCGCATTGGCATGCTTGCCTGATAGCTGCATACCGCCATGCCGGCAAAGCAAACAACCCCTCCGGTGGCATGACCCCTCAAACCTTCGACTCTGCAAGCCTAACTCTTCAGGTGGCCTGACAGGACCGTTGCAGTTGCCGAAGCCAGGCAACCAACCACCCAGGACGTTGCCGGGCATCTGCCGGTGAGACCGCAAGGGCGAACAGCGAAACAGCAAAAGGCTTGTTGTTCTTGTGGCATATCAAATGCCATGCAGTGCGTGGGTGCAAATCCCCGAGCACCAAGGCTACTCCTAAAGCCTATAAGGGAAAAACCTCCCCAAAGGCTGGAAAGGCGACACAGCTGGGCAGAATTTGAAAGCCAGCACAGGGATGTAAGATTTTAAGCATTTGCTCTCTCATGCGCCACTGCGCGTGTTCGTGTGGTTGTGTCGTAAAACGCAGACATGCGAAGCTATGGGTCCCGGCCTTTTCTGATTGAATGAGTTATTGAAAAAGGTTGTAACAGTAATGAACAGAGGAAAACGCGGCCGCTGAGTCAATTTGTCCAGGTTGTACAGGTCGGAAGATACAGGGAATTCGATGAAGGCCGGAGGCCGAACTGCGGAAGGCTTGCAAGGGCCAAACGCCCGTGGGATTGGGGAGGCCGTTTAAATTGGTTTCACGTTGAATCTTGAAAATTGAGTGGGCGCCGGGCAGTACACATCGCAGAGGAAAATTGACACAGGGCCTTCAGGTTGGACGACTTCGATCATTTCGGAAAACACCCCTCCTCCCCCCCCCCCATTTGATTGAAGCTTTTGCATTTTTCGGTTTTCCGAGCAGCAGCTTGATGAAATCTTTACCCATTTTTGCTGGGCAGCGCCTGTTGGAAAGATCTCTCCCAGACAAGCGATGCGAACGCAAAGCAAACTGAAAAGGACCTCAGCTTCGAGGCCTTCTTCGGCGCCTGGCGCGCGCCCCAAGGGCCCCAAGACGAGAGAAGCAAAGTTCATGCTCTCCCTTTGTCTTCTTGCTTCGTCTCCCCCTTTTTGCTGTTTCGTTGGATCGCATCGTTGTTGTGATGCTGGCCATGCGGCAACTATGCCAGCCGGCAAGGTCCGACTGGAAGTCCAAGCGAGAGAGGCCCGCAGGATGCAGCAACTTGCCACTTGCGCACTTCGTGGCTCCAGTGCGTGTTCTTTGCTGAATCTGAACATCAGCCAGCTGTCGCCCCAGATGTCCTTCCACAATCTCAACGGAACTCCAGGTGCTTTGCCGAAGTTCCTTGGGCCACCGCAGCACCAGAGGCCTGGAGAATGTTGGTGCAGAGGTCCCTGGGCCTTGGGACTTCAAGTCCACTCGTCCTGCTTGCATGCGCCAGGCGGAACGAAACAAGCAAAAACAAAATATCTAGTTGTGAAATGCATTGAAATTTGAATGTATTGATTATTGATCCTGTATGAGAAGTGCGATGAAGTGCCATCAGAAAGCGCGGTGAAGTGCCAAGTGCGCAGGCACCATTGCCCGAGGAGACGAAGGCCGAAGCCGCACGGCGTGAAGCCGAGGCGCCCTGAGACTAAGCACATCTAAAAACTCCACCTTAACCCACAAACCTTAGCAGCCAGATCTGAATCCTTGTCACAACTCCAGGTGGAAGGCTGATTGGCTGCCTATCTTTGTGTCAATGTGCTCGTACATGCCCCATAACATGAATTGCTCCAAGCATATTTTCGGAAGATTTTCGGAAGCAGACTTGAAGGTTCCGGTTTCAGAAGCAGCCGAGTGCCTCCCAATTCCCGCCCCCAAAGAGAGCAAATACATGCTCACTGCTGACCCCGAGGCTTGCGCACTCACAGGGCTTCCCCATACTAGCATCCCCTGGAACGGAACCTGCAGCATAGCTGCTGTAATGCTAGATTCTGCTAGATGCGAGCTGGCAGCCAGGAATTTGAGGAAGCCGCAGAGGCTGCCGCGCTTGAGGCCTCTGCTGAGGCCTGTGTCGGTCCCATGTTGTAGATAGTTGGAGCATGTTGGAGCACAGGCACTGGTGCTGTGGTGGAGTCTGCTGCGTAGTGTGTTCCAGTATTTTGCAACTGAAGCTTCCAGGTACAATAGCTTCTTCCTCAGCTGCAGAGGCAGCTCTCAGTCAATGTTGCTCATGCTGCTCTGAGTTCGCAAGCACATTGTTGATGAAGCGGGCAGATGTTCCTTGTTCGTCGCGGTGCTTGGAGGAGGCGACGACGCAGTGCAGAATTCGACACCAGCGCAGTGGCTTTCAGAGAATCAGAGAAGGAGGCGTCGCGCTGGAAAAGCCAATCGCTGAGCTGCACGCTGACATGTGGCGACAACCTCACAGTGACCTGGCAGCGTGCCTGAGAGAAATAGTAAGAAGGCCCCGAACGTCCGGCTGTGAGGCTATTCCGGGGGGGGGGGGGGGGTGGGCGGCCTCAGAATTTCATAGGTCGACGTGTGAGCGGTTCTGAGCTTTGTTTGCTCTTCTCTCTCTTCCACTCTCTCCTTTCTCTCTCTTCTCGCTCTTTTCTCTTTTCTGTTCTTTCTCTTCTCTGTTCTTTCTCTTCCCTTATCTCTCCTCTTCTCTTTTCTCTCTCTTGCTATCTACTATCAGAACAACATCGAATGGAGTGGGGACCAAATTGGCATGGCGTGCGCCGCATCCATCGTGAAGGCTCTGCCAGCTTAGAGCTGTTTTGTACAACTGCGGCCAAGAGAACCACATGAACAAAACCACGTGAGCTAGCACACCATATTATCCTATGAGACAGACCCGGGAGTGGACCAGGTCATCCAATAGTAACAAAGTTTGTTCAAACAGCTTTGTAAAGAGCGCGGCACGGCACGCACAAGACGACACAGACGTGAACCTCCCACGCGCGTTTGGAGAGAAAACTTTGGCGCGAAGAGCGTAAGAGAAGTTTTTATACTCGGCAAATGAAGGCAAATCAACTACGCTTGTCGCAGGTTGCTTGCGTCGAACCACAAGGAAACCCAACAGCCCAGAAACCACGCATCTGTCCTCCGGCAAAGCTTAAGCCGCCGTGACCGTGATTCCGTTCGAGCTGCCATGGCACAAGACGCGCCGGCAGCTGCTGGGGCCTTGCTTTCCATGTATGTCACCTGCCACCAGACCATGGCAAACAAGGCTGCATTGCCATAGCGGCTGGAAGCCACATCAAGTCTGAGGCTGCGGAAGCACCCCCAGATCGCCCCATCGCCTCCACGCCAGAGCTGACGTCGCAGGCGGAATGGCCCTGGCGGAAGGCAGGATGTGCCACGTGGGAGCGCCATGAGCGTCTTCGATGTTCGAAGATGTTCGAAGATGTTCGAATATTGTTTCAGGTAGAGAAAGCTTCCAGCTGTGAAGAGAAAGAGGCCACCGAGGCAGCGGTTGCATCCGGTGTACACTTGGACCCGTCTGACAGGGCGGTTGGATCCCGTGAGCTTCTGGAGCTTGAGGGAGCTTGTGTGGAGTCTGTTCTTGCGATTCGGAGCAGGGGCTTGCGGTGGTTTGTAGTGGTTTGCAGGTGCCAGAGGACCATATCCTGAGCTTCCGCAGAGACCTCTGGGACAAGAGCCTTGGCTGGCAAACTTGATTGTTTGGATCGCACGGAGCTGCATGGCCCAAAAGCATCGATTGTCCATACTTTTGATGCCGATGAGCCCTGAGGTTTGATTATCTCTGGCGAGAAAGAATCGAGCCTTCCCACGGCACCACGACTTGCAATGGGCATATAATTTCTAATTGTCTTCACATGTCTCCCCCCCTGTTGCTGCCTGCATGCTACTTGGAACATGTACTTGCTGCAAGCTCTGTTTCTTTTCGGTTTTGTTGCAGGGATGCAAGGTGCAACGCGTAGACCACCGAGGTTTGCTGCAGAAGGTGGCAGATCTTCTGAGAAGCCGAGCGGAGCTGGAACGGAAGTATGGCGAGAGCCTTCTGAGCTTTGGGGGGGATATCCAGGTCGAGCCAGGCCAGTTCCTGCACGAAGCACTCGAGCTGCGTGAAAGAGCCAAGTTCTCTTGCACCCTCCACCGGTTTGGCAGGTAACCCCGTCCACAGCGCAGTTGATGCCATGATCGCAGCTTGGACTGCAGCTACCCCTTCACTACGAATCATGGGCGCCACGCATCGCACCGCAGCTGTGGACGTGCTTGCGTTCTCGAACTTAATCAGCTTGGGTCAGCATAGCATCGCAATTTGGCACAACAACCAAGCCCAGCACACAGTCATTGGATCAATGTGCGGAGAAAGTGTGATTGCCATCAAGTTTTCGCAGTTGCAGACCTCGTTCCTATTGTCAGGTCAACTTCCGCAATCGCGGGGAGCAGTCCATCACATTGGCTGATGAGCTGGAGCAAGACATCATTGTTTGCTTTGACACCGTCATTAAGCAGCACAAGGAGGCGAGTGGAGCATGACCGGCTTGCAGCACTGATGTCGGAATAAATCCCCTGCAGGTGTCGAGAAAGATCCACTCCGACATGCAGCTTGTGCTGAGATATGCTCAGGACACGCTCATTGTGTTTTTTTCGGAGGTGGAGGTGTGCTACTGCTGCTACCATCACCACTACGACCACTCCTCCTCCTCCTCCTCCTCCTCCTCCTCCTCCTCCTCCTCCTCCTCCTCCTCCTCCTCCTCCTCCTCCTCCTTCTCCTCCTCCTCCTACTACTACTACTACTACTACTACTACTACTACTACTACTACCACTACTACCACTACTACCACTACTACCACTACTACCACTACTACCACTACTACCACTACTACCACTACTACCACTACTAGCACTACTAGCACTACTAGCACTACTAGCACTACTACCACGACTACCACTACTACCACGACTACCACTACTACCACGGCTACCACTACTACCACTACTACCACTACTACCACTACTACCACTACTACCACTACTACCACTACCACTAACACCGCTACTGACAATACTACGAACACAACTACCAACATGCTAGCACTACTGCCAACTCAAGTAAACTACATCTCGCACTGCTACTAGCACTACTACTAGCACCAACACTAACACCACTACTAGCGCTACTCTACTAAGGCTACCTCCTAGCGCTACTACCAACGCTACGACAAACGCTGCGCCACTCGGAATCCTGCCCAAGTGCCTTCCGACCTCCTGTAGCCAGCTTAAGAAGTGCCGAAGTGGCGGTCCAACGCGCCCAAGCTCGGGCCGAACGGGAAAAGGAAAGAGCAAGGGCCAGGTTGCCAAGTCGAAGGAAGGCGACGTTGAGGCGTTAGATGACGACCTGGCGAAGGAAACTTTTGCCCTTGTAGCACCATCCGGGCTTTCCGAGTCCCCTTGGGCGAAGTGACAATTAAAGAGAGACTCGAAAGCCGGCATGGGAGGGATGCAGAACCACCGAGCAGCAGCGAAGAGGAGCTGGTGGAAGTGGAGGTTGAGAACCAAAACCGGACAGACATATCGTACTGAGGGAACGGCCATCGGGCTTCATTTGCGCTGCTAAAAGGATCCCCGGCAAACCGTTTCCAACTAAAAGTCGAAAGGGTCAGGGCCAGGCTGCGAAAGGCCGAAAGGTTCGGCCAGAGAGCGGCTCTCCTGACGCAATTGACCGGCCCTCCTACCTCACGGGACAACTGGGGGTGAGTGCCTCACTCATGTTTCCGCCATTCCTTCAAGCCAACTCAAGTATGCAAAAAAAGAATGCATAGGAGAGGCGCAAAGCGCACGACAAGCTGGCGAGAAGGCCAGTGAGAGTAGCGGCCTGCCCAGAGAAGCTTGACACACTGGTTTCAGCTTTTAATGCATTACCAGCCCCACAGTGAACAGGTATGGTTCTCGCTGCGTGGAGGCTGAGCATTTGGCACAGGACGCTTTCTTCGATTCCGCTGCTAGGGAGTCTAAACTGTCGGACTACGTGAGATGTGTGAGCCAAGTACGAAGCAGGATTAACTAGTGCGTTGCAGGACTGTTTGCAGGCAATTTCCATGAAGACCGCTGACCGAATGAAATTGGCCCAGCAAGTGGGAAGCTTGGAGCTTCTTCGTTTTGGCATGTCCTATCTGTTCATTGCCCAAAACAGACTGCCTCAGATCTAATGGAACTTGGTTCTTTTGAAGATGTTGCCCTTGCTGAGGCCACGGTTCTCAGCAAGCAAGCCCGACTGGCGGAATACGAGACTCGGAAGAAAGATAAGGGAGATGTCGTGACACAGCAGGGGAAGCAAATGTGATTTGATGCCACTTCGATCTCTGCAGCGCAAGGAGTATTACCAAGCCATCGAGCAGGCCCTGGACAGTCGAAGTTGTTTGGATCCTGACCGCCATGCCGTTGCATGTCATTGATCCCAAAACAGATCCGACGCATGAGATTTAGCGGACACTGCTGCTCGATCTCGCGGCAGGAGCCAGCTAAGTCTTCACGATAGGTTCCTGCATCCAACGAGCAAGGCTACCACTAGTCGATAGTTTTTGTGGTTAGTTGCCTCTTGAAGTCTTGCTTGCATAGCCTTTTTCTGACCTAGCAAGCATAATGCCAAGAGCTTGGTTTGCCAGAGAGCCGCCATGACGAGCCTTCGTTTGAACCTGAACTCACCTGTGGTCGACCTGGCAGTGCGCTGGACCAAAGAGGAGAAGCAGTTCAGGGTTGGTGTCCTGGAACCGTTTTCGAGTTCTATCTGGCAGGAGAAGCTGCGCGACTTCAAACTGAGAGGACTGCTTTTGAGCGTGTGGAATGTTGTTCAGCTTGCTCGACCTGTCGGACTGGCAATCGGTACTAGCACAGCAAGTTGGCGGACATCCCTTTCGGCCACCCCGGTGTAGATCAGGGACCCTTCTGTCATAGATGAACAGCATGCTCAGCTTCGAATGGCGAGGATGGAACGAGTTGCGTGTTGATCTTCTGGCAGAGGACGTGCCTCGACTCTTTGCGCAGGACACTGTGCATTGGTTCCGTACTCATATTTATGGGCAGATCTACGTGTATATGATATCAGACACAATGCATGTGCCGAAGGATGTATGCGAAACTGCAACCCTAAGCTGTAAGCGAGATGAGCACTTTGGGTTTCAGTAGCATTCGGGGACTTCCCTTCTATCAGCACATGCCAAACGAGACTGGACCAATTGAGCGCGTGCATCTACACGTTCTTGATGCCTTCTTGACCGACGTCTATCGGGTGGAAAAGCTGCCGGGTGCATGACAGCATGAAACTGATGCACTCAATGCAGCATGTGTGCCAAGGTAATGAAGAAGACACTCGGCTGAACGAATTGCTGACTCTAAAGCCACATTTCCAAAGTATATTTCCAAAATATACACAACATCGAGCACTGAATGACCCAGAATGATTGGATGTTAAGCTGAGTTCAAGTGTTCCATTCAAAGGGAAGGAAAGGGATGGACCTTGTCACTTGTGCTGTCGCACTCAGTGAATTCAGAACTCAGGCAGGAGCTTCGATTGTCCGACTTCCAAGATCCTCACGGAGGTGAGCACAACGTCTCAGCGGCCCAGCCCTGGCTTTGATGGAACTCAGAGAATCGAGTATGCAGCGCGCTTTCGCACTCAGACAGCACGGGTCATTCCCGTGTCGCATAGTCTTACCATTCTTACCACATGGGCAGGGCATTGTGCTGACTTTTCTGGGTGGCAGGAATCCAGCTGATGTTACAGCTCACGCAAGCAGAATCAAGCAATTAATGCTATGCTTAATTGCTCCGCTTGTGCTCTTTTTGCTCCATCCTCGGCTTCCAGGGTTTCCGTACTGTGCGACTTGCAAATGCCAGGTGGAGATCTCTGCCTTGCGCCAAAGTTCCTTGCAAGATCTCTCTCTGGTGCTCGAGCAGGAGCTCCAATCAAAGCGTAGGCAAGTGGGCAGAGCCTCATGTTGGTTCAATGCAGAAGGACAAGCACCTTGCTGAGCTCTGCATCAATGACGTGGACGATCAGGCGCGACCGGAGCTACCCGCTACCTTTTTTCATAAAATCGCAAAGAGTCTGATGGATGACATGCTGGAGTTGTAATTGCGATCGAGATAAGCTTTGAAGCGATGCGTTCGACGATGTCTGCGAATCCAGTTCTGTCAGCTCGTTCAGCTTCCCAAGTGCTGTCTGCAACACACATCCAAGTCGCAGTGCGGCGGTTGCGGCGAGGCCATGCCAGCGCTGTGTCGTGGTGCAGCTGGCCTTCGGTCATTCCAGCTCGCAGGCTTCGAGGTAAGAGGCGAGGGCGCGTTCATGCGATGCTGTGCAAGGCTGCGGCTTGACGGATGCCGCCGGCAAGCCGTTGGCGCAACTTCTGAAGGCCATGGGGTCGATTCAACGTTCGCACGCACAGACGGCTCAGGCTCACACCTTCCTTTCTCCCTTCTGGATCAGGTTTCTGAGACGCTGCGAAAGCTGTCCTTGCGGCTCGTTCGCAATCAGCCATGCCTCACATTTGTCGTATCGGAGTTGCCAACCGCGTTTTGTCCGAACCAAGGGCCAACAACAGTTCGCTGCTGGCATTCAACAAGTTTTTTGTCGGCTTTAACTCCTGTACCTCGCGTTGTGGCCGATGGCGCCCGACGAAAATCCTACACCCCAAATTTTGGGTAAGCTATAAACCCTAAATCAGCCCGAAACCCTAAGCCCTGCCCCGCGACTTGGGCGTGGGGACCCAGGACTGGGCTGCGAAGCTGCAGCTTGCTTAGCCACGGGCCTCCAAAGCAACGACTTCTTGTGCGAGCTCTATCTCCAGCAGAATGTGTCTCGGATGACGTTCGATGACGTTGAGGTTCTGGAAACTTGTGAACATAGTACCCACATCAAGAAAAGACATGCAAAAACATGATGCAGAAGTACGATGCAAGGGTGGAGCCGTGGAGCCAAGGCAATAGCAGACAAGGGCTGCTCTTTGCTGGCCAAGTCCCTGGAGGCGATCAGCCGTAGAGGCGCTTGACATTCCCCCGCAGCACTCGTCACAAGCTCCGCGCAGGCCAATCCTTACGTGCTGGAGACTTTGGATGTGTCTGACAACAGCTTCAGCGAAGCGGCTTGAACGAAAAGAATGAAGAAGAGTACCCTTGAAGAGCTCTGCTCAAGATGGCAGATGGCTCAAGACTCAAGCCCCGGAAAGAAGTTCACGAAGTTCATGACATGATACCATCAACATGATAATTTCATGACATGATGAAACTCATGATGACGAATTTCCATGGGGGGGAGTCTTGTGTCTAAGTCGTTCAGGTCGGGCGGTCGGCTCTTGAGGCTGCCTTTGGGGTCAGCTGCTCACTGGCCGTGCTACGTTTGGGACAGAGAGGCCTTGGGCTTCGGCCTTGAGGTAGCCAATATGAGCCAGAGGTCTGCTTTCCAAAGCTATGCACATGCTGTTAAAAAAATTGCTTGCATGGGTTCGGAAAGGTTGCAACTGCAGTCTCGTTTCAACCCCAAACAGACCAAGGCACACACTTGAGACCAAGATCCATCAGCCGCTATGTAGAACAAGTCTTCGCCCGCAGGAGCTCATCACGTCCTGGAGAAGTCACCCACCGCTGCCGTGGGCTTGCAAGGAGTTTTGCCAGCATTCAGCCTCTTGCATGTACCCGTTTGCACAGAAGAGACGTTTCATGGTTCTGCTTCAGGGCTTAAAGGAATGAAAGTTGTCACTACAAGTATGTTCTCCGCTGGTCCCCGGTCTGCCTTCCATTTGTTCACATGGTCCTGCGGTCCCCTGGAGCTTGAGTTCAAGAATTGTAAACGCTTGCGCACGCCGCCTCGGCAGCCGGGGCGACCCAAGCGTGCGCATCGCAGACGAAGGAAGCCCAAAGTCATACGTCGCTTGGAGATGCCAACAGCTTCAGGAGGTTTCTAGGGTGGTCCCAGAAGGCTCTAGAAGAGCGTGGGGGGTTGGGCTTCAAGGAAGGTCCCAGGGCCGCAGGCTGGACCCCCAACAGCATCGGATTGCGGCTCCGGCGGTTCTGGTCCCGCAAAGGAGGCAATCGATATCGACTTCGTTCAGTGGTGAAGTTTGAGTGCTGCTATGAGTGCCAGCAACGTGTGCTGTGTGTCGGGGTGCACTAGCTGCCTGCTGCAGTGTGTTTTTCGCAAGTGTACATGTAAACAGAATTGTGGACCCATCTCGGCTTAGGTGAGAGTGTAAATTGCTTGCGTTGGACTCGCGAAGAGTGGAAAAGACCGTGCAAGCATTAACACATATACTAGGAAATTCATAAGAGTATGCATTCATTAAGGAGAGGCACCTCTCGCTGGAACTGCTCGCCGTGGCTTCGATTTTGTTGTTCATTGCCACCGCTTGGGCGCGGCACTCGCCTGAATTGTGTTAAGGATTTGAAGCAGGGTATATATTACTGTTGTTGGTGAGTGTATATAAGGTTCCTGTTTAATATTGGTGAGTGTAGATACCGGGTGTCCTTTTGGGGGTACAAGAAATATAAACTCTGCTTCATTTAGGGTTGCAGCTTACAGTTCAGGCGCGTTTAGAGCAGGGAGGGCAAAGAAAGCTTCCAGATCGGGAAGCAAAAGCTGGAACTCGGATGTTACGAGTCCAACGTGGAACATTTGGCAATTCTCCAGTTCAACGAGAAGTCGTGCGTCCGGAGCAACATCGAATCACACATTTCATCAGTCAACATCGTGACTGGACATTGACCGAAAACCAAGCCAATCTCTGACGCTTCGAGGAATCCGGCTCTTGTTTGGTCCTCTCATCACGAAAGCTCCCCCTGTGGGAGCTTCGTTCAATACCTCACGAAGTGAGCCTGGGGTTATCGGGGGGGGGTGCGGGGGGGGGCTAGATTTGGGTTTCTTTGGTAAGTGTTTTTCTGAGACGTTCGAAGGAGAAGCGTGGCCCCCCTGATGCTGCTGATGCTGGCCTGGGTGTGGTGCCTGATGCTGCTGATGCTGGCCGTATCGTGCGGCCACATGCTTCGCTGGGGCCTCTCTGTTCCTGTAAGCTCCGTGTCCCCAGTCCTAGGCATACTAGAGCTTTCGCCCCAGCCCGTGGCTCTCAAGTCTGATTCAGCCCTTGACGGCGTCTGGGAAGTTGTTCACCCGATGAGAGCACCCCCCGATGGATGGTGCTGCAGCAGCAAAAAACAAAACAGAATTGAGTCCATGGCACCACGAAGGGATTGTGGAATTGAGTCGCTGAAGACATGCAAGATGTGGAAAAGATTGCTAAGTCCTGTGCACTGCACACTTGTCCCTCAGGAAATTTGGGCACAAACCACAGCGGACCCCATCGACCATCCAGGCTCAGAACTGTTGCATTGGTTTGTCGGACATTGTGTTTCGCAATGCTATTCCACAGGCAAACTGGTGGACATGCAGCAAGATGACAAGGCCAGAGCCGCAACTGCTTGCAGAACGGTCTTTTTCGCACCGTTGGTGCTTCATCCTACACACACCATGCTGTCACATTAGCTCAAGCACCTACGTCCTGCTGTTAGCTTCTAGCAGGATTTGGACTTGGTCTTCTCGGTACCACGGCTGGAACCCACTGCCTCGGCTGCGGTGGCTCAGCTCCAAATTCCGAAGTGAAAAACGGCCGGGGCCCGAAGGCTAAAGGCCCCGTCGGACACCTCCATCATTTTAGAGATCAGAGGTTGGAATCGGGTCTTTCAGCAACAAGAGTTTGTGGTGCGTATGGGAAGGAGCATCAGTACCAACAGCAGGAGGGTAGGAATATCATCGGTTGTACACTTCATTCTTGTGTTTTTGCGTTGAGCGAGGTGTCGCTGTCAGCCACCACCATGAAGATCACTTCGCTGGACCAAACGCTGGTTGACATGCAGCTGCCACTGGACTGAACTCCGAAGAGCTTGAACAGTTGCACAGTGCTGACATGGCGACCCCCCAGGTTTAGCAAGATTGATCCGACGACGTACGAACTCAGCTTTCGGGACTGGGCTTTGATTCGCGTTGTTCTGCTGTGCTGCTGCAAGTTGTAGCTAGCAGAAGTACAGCTAAACAAACACGCATGTTTCTTGCACTGATTGCTATGGAATGCTCTTCATCTCTGAGCTTGAACGGTGCCAGGACTCAATCCTGGAGGTGTCCTTGACCAAAGCAAATGAGGGGGAGCAGTGGCCGCGCCTGGAAAAGTAATCCTCTCCAACACAGCGGCCGCATACTACGTTGTGACGTGCAGCTACATCCATCGTCTACATGCTTGAAGTGCAAGACGCTGACACTGTCAGCTACCGGCATCAAAGATCTTCCACATGGCGAGCACCATCGGTGCTCACTGGGCTTGCCTGGCTGCTCATGCCTGTGCACACATCAAGCACACCATGCTTGATGTCAAGCGGCGGCACTACTCCCAGCCTCGTTTCCATGAAGCTCGACCCATTGTTGGCTTCCTGCTGTTTCTGTGCTTTGTGCAACCTGACAAAGCGCGGAGCAATTGGGCAAAGGAGCGCGACAGAGCGCGACACGAAAAACACAAAGGTCGCTCCAAGACTCAAGAGGAAGAAACGTGAATCTCACGTGTTTGAAATAAATTGTGGTCTCCGAGAGCTCCACGATTTGCTCGCACCAGCTGAACGAGCTCTCGCGCGGCATCTTTGCGCGCCGTGTGAGGTTGTAGCCAGTGAGGTCTCCGAGGTGTGAACCTCAAATCAACCTACCTACTCTACTCAGCTGAGAAATCTCGTTTCTTGAGGCTTCATGAGTTTGCGACTTATGCCTGCTCTTGCTTGCACTGGCTGGCGAAATCGGCAAAGTTGGAATGAGTCCTACCCGGGTCAGGCGAACAGGGCGCAACGGCTCTACGAGCAGCAGATGGCGCATGTCCTCGAGGTCTTGCAGGCAGCACACATGCAAACCACTTTGGAAGAGCCTGTCATAGAAAAATGAACCATTGAAAGCAACGAACGGCAACGTTGTAATGTAATGTAATGCTGCTCACAAGTTGGAGATCAATGGTGCAAGGACATGGAGGAAAAGACTGAGCCTCAGAATCTAGAAGGCTCAGACTTCCTCAGCATTTGCAGTGGTGGGACCGTCTGGGGCTTGATGTATGCCCGATGTCAAGTTTGGCTCGAGAACCGCACTGCTCCAGTGCAGTGCAATCCTCGGGCTTCGTCAAATGTGCCTGCATCCGCACTTTGAAGTGGAAAGTTCAACCGTGGCACTCGATGATGCAATCAGAACGCGATGCAAGTTGCAGAAAGGCCTTCATAGAGCTGCTACGACTTGTTGAGAGTCACAGCCAAGGCAGAGGCCGGGCAGACGCTGAACGGCGTCAGCCATGGGAGCCAAGCAGATTGCCAGCAAGACAAATGCCTATCAAAATGATGTCTGTGCATGTGTCTGCACATACTGAGATTATTTGGTAGTGTTCGATGCAGCCCGCGTCCAGGTTTGGTTGTGGCCTGCTGTTGCCACTTCTTGCATCATCTGTGAACCTTCGAGCGTCTGTTGAAGGACCCTACAGATTTGAAACTTCTGCGAGTGATCTTGTGACATTGCAGACATTTGCTGTCCTCTCTTCCTGGCTGGAGGCCTTCAAAGCTCATCTGACACTGCACCCAAATGCGCTGCCTGGACTTGTTCTAGAGGGTATGTGCCGAAGCCTGGGCGTGGCGTGCTTCAGATGCAATTAATGGTGCGACAGACCGCGCTCACTGGCTTCGTATGACTTCCTTGCGCATCGTAGTTGCGCAGGCCATCACGGGCGCTTCAGATCAGGCGCGACACTGGCTGCGAAATCTGCTAAGCACCCTTCGCTTGACATTGCCACATCAGAAGCGACTCTCAGAGGTATGCTGCGACAAGACCTGCAGTCTCTTCAACTGCAGCAGTGGTTATGTGGCAAACGAGGCTTATGCCCACAACCTAGGCGTGGGCAGAGGAAACATCAGAAATTCTCCCTTCATTTCGCAAGCATGACCCATCCTAAAAGCGCATGAAATGCAGGCTTCTCAGACACGCAGTGCTGCGATCGGGCTTGCGCGTTCCCGAGCAATTCACAAACCGCATGGGAGACAAGTCGCCATGCATCTGTCGATGTAACATATCATGCCATTGCATATGTCGCAGTATATCGCAGCTCTATGAATCTTGACTGCAACTGCAGCTCGCTCATACTATCCTGTGTCCAAAGACCAGGTGGAGCTGCAGAGTCGGCGGGCATCTTCCAGTGCAATGCCAGCCAAGCGGTCGGCAATTCCTTGAAAGCAGGCACATATCTTTACCATCTCACACTTGACTCCTTGACTCAGTTCAGGCATTGTTGTAGCTGGCAATCTTCCCTGAGGTGTTTCTGCAGAGAAGTGCTGTGACAACATCTGCGACCTACACCAATGCGGCCCTTTGTGGAGCCTTACCTCTCAACTCTTTGGTCTCCTCAGAATGTGGTGACTTCTGTCGTGAAAGAGCTGAAGCTTGTGTGAGTGTAGATCTGCTCTATCTTCGCTCGATCTTGCAGTTCCTCTGCAAGGGCCCCGAATCCGGAAGCGAAGACACTGCCGGGGAACACAGACGACAAGTGCTGCCTGCCCACTTGTGGACAGGCACGTTCTGGCATGTTCTGACTCTGCTTCGGAGATGTGTGACTCATTCGTCTGGTTTCCGTTAGGTGAAGTGCGATCCCGGTTACATCTATGACGAGCTCATGATAGAAAAGCCGGGCACCACGAAGGAGCAGTGCTGCGTGAAGTCGTGTGAGCTCTTTACTTGCGGCAGCCTTAGTGCCTCAAGGCCTAAGCTGGGCCTAAGCACTGTGCCTTTGCAGCTTTGAAACAGCACTCAAGCAAAGTCTGGACCAGGTGACGCTGCTCGCGGCTTTAGCATTCCAAAAAAGAAGCAATCTCAGAAGGCAACCACGGCGGACGACTGCTGTGAGCCTCAGTGTCGGCATCATGACTCCTGGTTCCACATTATTGCAAGCTGCGCAGGACTGAACCAAACTGAATCTTAAGCCGAAAGAAATCTTCTCTGCCTATGCCGAGCATTCTGTGTGCAACAAAGGAATGTGGTCCGGGCTGGCTCAAAGATGTGAGCAAGGATGATCTCTTTGAAACCCGGCTGATATTGTACCCTTGCTTTCACCAGAAGTGCCTTTGACAGTGAAGCCGGTTTGCACAGGCCTGGTCGATCCAACAGGTTTTCAATCGCTTCACTTTTCTGACTTTTCTGTGCAAGGAGCCGACAGATGAGACGTGCTGCCTGCAGCAGTGTGAATCCGTTCACTGCCCAACAGAATGGCGCCGCGACGAAGCAGCTGGCCCAGAATTTCATGCCAGGCCCAAGAGACCAAGCTATCTGCACACTTCCACATATCTCTGCATAGCAGCTGACTGAGGCCAACAAGGACAAGATCAGCAGCTCGCAAGATGTCTGCTGCCTTCCTCCGTGCTCGCTCCACTCCTGTGATGCGGATGCTCCTTGAATGCAAACTTCCATGCTAACCAGGGGTGATATACAATTGATGCGTGGCCTGCGTGCCTGTGCGTGCCACCAAGAGGCTCCTAATGAATGCCAATCTGAATCGTATTGGTGCTCCTAGGCTGGCATGGCCAACGTTGGCGACGCTGTGTTCGGCTACTTGTTTGTGATCTGCAGGGGAGGGGAGGGTGCTGCAGCAGGGATTGGTTGAGGTGTTGCGAAATGGGTCTGGGAGCCTAGTCCTTCAAAGTCGCCAGACAATGGCAGAGCACCACTGCGCGTTGATGACCTATCCTGGACATTGATCCCGACCTAACTGCCCCCTGCAATCCCCCCACCTCTCAGGCCCCACCGCTGCCCACACGAATTAAGTGTCAATTGTACATTGCTGCATAAGGAAGAACTGCTGATCGCTGCTGCCAAACGACATGCTCCAAGCATCAATGTCCGATGGGCATGACCGCCGCAGCATCCAGAAGCAGAGCACGTTTGGCACCGTTTGGTGGTTTAGTGAGATTGGTTGAAACTAAAACATGTTGAAGGGAGGCAAAGTACACTTTGGCATGGGCCAATCTATTGAGTCGCGATGCGTGCGGCGCTTGTTTTGGGTCAACGCCCCCGTTTAGGCGACTGCTGAGAACTGAGAAGCGCAAAACTCTCGTCACTTTTAAACTTTTGGCCTTAGATCGCGGTCGTGCTCCTGTAAGTAACGTTTGGCATGTGCCGTCCTCGTCGTCGTCGTACGCCGACATGTGATGCTTCGAGTTTTGCCTTATATGCGAATCGGTGCGCTCAAGGAATTGCAAGCTTTCCGGCATCAGACGGCCTGTGCTGCGAGCCGAAAGGTCAGGAGCTGAATCATGGTGACATGCAATTCATGTAAGCCTCGATCTAAACGAGAGGCCCAAGACTCTTGGTGCTCACAGCAGGCACAGCACAGCCCGACCCTTCGAGGCTGCGAAGAATTCCGAAAGCTCAAAAAGCTAGGAAAGGACGCGACATGCAATTCACTGTCGAAGGACTGTGGGAAGGGAGTAGTTTGCTGCAGAGTGTCTGACTGAGGTGTAAAGCATGCAGCCTGCGCAGGACGAGGCGGCATGCACCTCCAGCTATACAAGCTATCCTTTGTCCGGCAAGAGCGCATCGATGACCTCCTGGGTCAAAGCCTCAGAAGAGTTGGTCTCCTCAGTTGCTGTGTCATCAGTGTCATCAATGCGCTGCATGCATTGTGCCGCGCTGAAGGTCAAATGCACATACGACAAAGAATCGCTCCTCTGTCGCCTAGACGACAAAGGCGGCAACGAACTGAAGGGATGCGCCGACTGAGTTTCCAGACCAAGACACGCCGTGCAGCGAGCACGATGCAAAAAAATAGTCAGCCATGGCATGTACATAATTACTCGGGCAATCCCAAAACGAGACTCGAAAAGAGCGTATTGGGCAAGACAGGCCACAGCTAGACAGATTTGTTCGCGAACTACTGTGAGCTGAGGAGGGGACGATGTCTCCGAGACGGCTTGAGAAAGCTGGCTGTCTACGAAACCTCCTGGTTGAGGAACATGCAGTGCCCCTGGCATGAAGGCAATGACGACATTATCAGTATCCACCTTGAGCGCCATCGCACAAGTTCTGCTTGCACTTGTACATGACATGCTTGGAAGCACACCTTCACAGGGCAGGAGACTCTGGTCAGGGAAAGGGAGACCCCTTTCCCCCGTGACTCGTGGAACAACTGCACAACAGTATCTGTGTCTGATATGTGGGCTTCCTTCGTTGCTGCACAGCGATTGTTCCTAAACGAAACTATGCTCTGCGACTCTGAGTACAGCCAATGTCAGTCAAGCATGTTCGCCAAAAGCGTCGCAGGTACGACCTCGAAGGAGCTGCAAAGGACGGCACCGATACAGAGTTTGGAACAGGGGCTTGTAATGGCCTTCGGCAGGTTTTTGGGGCTGTTTAACGCCTCAGATCAGAATGCGTGTTTGCAGCTGTCTCCACGTTCATGCCCAGAGTCTGCGGTCTTTTCGCATGCTGTGACTGGACCTTTTATGTACGCTTTATATTGTTTGAAGGTTTCAAATTTCGAGTTCAATGGGCCAGCTCCGCCGGCTCCTGTTGCCTTGAGCATGCAGGCCGCAGAGGACTGTGATGCCGTCAGTGCACTCAGCCGATGCCACCCTGCAGTGAGAGAGAGTCTTACGCACAGAAGCAGGGAAGGAGGAAGGTAGAGAGAGCAGGAGGGTGAGGAACACAAGAGGGGTTGGTGTTTCACCGTTTCTGACCGAGAAGGTCCTGGAAGTTAAGGGCGACATGGTGACACCACACAGGTGGACTAAGCAGCACCATGTTGTGTATCACTGTTGGGTACCAGACCTCCGGAGTGCACAAGCTGCGCAAAAGCTTGCCCCTTATGCCCAACATAAGGAAAGAGGGTGAGATCGAAAGAGAGGAGACAATGTTTCCGACACCCTTTCCTCGCCTTTTCTGGGTGCTTTCTTCTAGGACCAGTGACTTTCTAGATTGATTCCTATATTATTTTGTGGCCCGGGTCGGGGGGGAGGGGCGGGAGGGGGGAAACAATACAGAACCAATGATGCTACCCAAGAGCTTGGGCCAGGGAATTTCGGGTGAGCTGCTTCTCCGCAAAGCAACTGTCGTCTTGGCCCATGTCTTTAAGTTTTGTGCCACACTACGTAGGCTTGTTCCGCGCCGCCCTCAGAAGTAGTGGATGGACTTTTCGATGTGGACCCCTCTTGTTTGGGGTCATGGGTCGTTTAGGCCAGACCCTCATTCCAATTCAAGAACCAATACAGAAATGAGGGATTTCTTTATTGATTCTACATTGATATCGTCCCTCGGGTCCGCCGATTCACAGTCACCGACCCGAGACCGGGTGCCATTCGGTGCGGCCGGGAGAGTTCACTTTCCGCTAGCAGCCGCTGGCATTGGGAACACTTGTCCGGGTCCACATTCGTTTCAGCAGTGGTGGCGGCCCCGAATACAGGAGAGGCGGACCTGCTTGGGGTGGTTCGCCCCCCCCCACGAAAGAAACGAAGAGAGAAGATGTTCTCTCTGCCCACTGAGAAGAAGAAGCGGAAGAGCGGGAAAAGGCTCTCTAGAGCTGCCTTTTGTGAAAGATGATGCTGCATGTGCACCGGGAAGTCAGGCGGCTTCGGCCGGAACTCGGAACTACGCTGACATGCCTTCGAGTGCGGTTGGAAAACTTGGTGGGCCGTGAATGATCTCATGCTGAGAATCCTGCGCCTCTCGCTCTTGTCACACCAGAGGGCACAACTTCAGAAGAGGGACGCCATGTACTCTCGCAGCACACTACGCAAACACGCGGTCCTGGACAAGAGACTCGGAGACTCTCTGGCCTGCGTGGGCCTCCAAACTCTGAGTGTGGTCGAGGGCACCAGACCGAAAGAGTTTAGAGGCCTCTGCCGATAGGCAGGAGAAGAGAGCCTTCGCACGTGACGGCACTCTGCTGGGAATCTTGAGGTCAAGGAGCTGCAGGACTTCATTGAGAAATCGGTGAAGGAGGCGCACCAGAACTGGGCTCAGTTTATTGCTCCTTGTTCTCTTGTTGGCGATTTCTTCAAGGTTGGCCCAGCCGGACAGCCCGCAAGCCCGCTAGTGGCCTTCGCCTCAGCCGGAAAGAAGACGGCTTTCTCGAAGAGCGACTCTTGGTTGGGGACGGCATGGTTTCGGTTCGATTCACAGCCCATTTGAACTCTAGACTCTGACGGTTGCCAGAGCTGAGTGTGTGTTGCAGATGCGCCTTCACACGCAGAACCTCGAAATAATGAAGTTACATGCGGCGTTGCTCTTGCCAAATCTGGCAGTATTGGCTGCAAAAGCTTCGAGGCCTTGCCGTTTTTCCAGCTGGGCAAGGCTCGCGAGCCGCTTGAAACTCAGCAGGGAGGAGGCCTTTGGTTGCGGGGATGCCCGGGAGAAGGTCCGGGGGCCCTTGAGTATTGAGCAGCCTCGTTTCCACCAAGCATGATTAAGCATGCATATGGTGTGATTCACCTCAGGCGAAAGCCAACACCCGAGCTGCAACAGCTGGCGCAGGCGAAAGCCACCATGCCTAGCACGCCGTGACACTGGCTGACGCAAGTACTTGTGGAACTGACCAGAATGAGAGCAGGTGCAGCAGCACATCCGGCAGCTGATGGACGAAATGAGCCCCGTGATTACTTCTCTTCTGGAAGGACAGAAAAGCCTTTTCAAAAGCATGCTGCCGCTTCGTCTCCTGTCGCCTCCCCAGGATCTGCGGAGGAGCAAGCCGCAGCCCAAGCAGCCTAAGCACCGGACGCGTGCACAACACAATTCACTCGTGGGCATGTGGCGGTTTCAGCAACAACTTGAAATCAATGTCCTATGAACTTACACAAAGGCGCTCACTCTGTTCACCTATAACCGTCTTCACAGGCAAACCTTAACTGTCAAGGGTCTTTTCACGCCAGAAATAGCAATATTGTACGAACGACACGTGCTTTTATTAGCTTCGTTCCAATATTTTTAATACTGGAGTGGCAGGACAGGCAGTTGGGGTCCCGAGGGTGGGTTCTCTATGACAGGTCTGTAGTACTGGAACTAAACTAGGATGATACGGGTGAACAAGATGAAGGGTGCGGGCGGTTAGACCGAGATATGCTTGAGTTAGGGTCTCGAGGGCGGATTCATGGGCAAGACTGGCAGGTGGGATGGATTCCATGGTCTTTTCATCTCCTCGTCGGAGTTATCAGGTAACCAGAAGCTCAAACATGGACAATCAATCCGCATTTGCAAAAACTAAGGCTGAAAGCCTCAGCCGGCACGTCACTGAGTGGCGGCCACGCGCGGCATTCTGCCAGGCGGCGGATGGGCACAAGGATAACGCAGTGTCACATGACATGGGTTGCTGTAGATGTGTTTTTGGATTTTTTTTTTGGGTGGGGGGGGGGGGGCGCGCGCCTGCTCGTGCCTGGTGGCCCAGCACACACGGCCTTTTCAATTTCAACCCCAGGCTAACCTCAACTGTGAAGCGGGCGGCCCTCACAACTTTTCCAGTCCAGGCCAGCTGCAAGATGTTCAGGCTCAGGCCAAACACAAGTTTGG